TCCCATTACACAGCACCTGCATATGTGACGTTTACTGACAATCACCAGAACTCGGTTCGTCCATTCACCGACAGTTCCGCCAGTCGCACGAAGGTCACAAGCCTCACGCCGGTCTCGACGCCACACGCGCATCCACTGGTGTCGTCTGGACTTCGGAACAAGCGTACAAGCACGGTTTCCTTGAACACCCGGAAGAATGGGCCAACCTGGGTCAGGGTGCGCCCGAAGTCGACGATAGCATCAAGGGCTGCTTTGAGAGGCCGAGAGAGGTTGATATCAGTGCCCATGGCCGAGAGTACGGTCCTACCGCTGGTATCAGGCCGCTGAGAGAGGCTGTTGCGACTCTGTACAATGAACATCACCGAAAGTGGCGCAAGAGCCAGTACACATGGGAGAATGTAGGCCACCTACCCAACTTCATCCGTCTATGTTTACTAACTGTATCTAGGTTTGCATTGTACCTGGTGGACGTGCGGGTTTGATCCGTATCGCTGCTGTGCTCGGCAACTGCTACTTGGGCTTCTTCATTCCCGGTACGTCAAGACGACCCCTTGGCCGAAATCAAATCTAACAAACACAGACTACACCGCATACAACGAGATGTTGTCGCTCTTCCGAAACATTGCCGCCATTCCCGTCCCCCTAGGCGAGGCAGACCAATACCACATGTCACCCGACAAGATCGCAGAGGAAATCGCCCGTGGTACCTCTGTCATCCTCACATCGAACCCCCGTAACCCAACCGGACAAATGGTGACCAACCCCGAACTCGCTCAGATCCAGAACATCTGCCGTGACCGCGCAACCCTCATCATGGATGAATTCTACTGCGGATACAACTACACCACAAACTGCGACGGCACCGTCATCTCCGCCGCTGACAACGTTGAAGACGTAGACGAGGACGACGTTCTTATCATCGACGGTCTTACCAAGCGCTTCCGCCTCCCCGGATGGCGTGTAGCGTGGGTCATCGGACCCAAGGAGTTCATCCAGGCTATCGGCTCATGCGGTTCCTACCTCGACGGAGGCTGCAACGTACCCTTCCAAGAAGCCGCCGTGGAGATGATGTCACCACCCCGTGTTCGCAACGAGATGCGCGCTCTGCAAATGCACTTCCGCACCAAGCGCGACTTCGTCATTGGCCGTCTCCAGGAAATCGGCTTCAAGTTCCCCTACATGCCAAACTCGACTTTCTACCTCTGGCTCGATCTCAGCAATCTACCAGAGGGCATCAATGACGGTCTCAACTTCTTCCAGGCTTGTCTCGAGGAGAAGGTCATTGTCGTTCCCGGTATCTTCTTCGACTTGAACCCCAGTAGGCGTAGGGATTTGTTCGACTCGCCTTGCCATCACTTTGTTCGTCTGAGTTATGGTCCTAGGATGGATGTGTTGGAGAAGGGTTTGGACTCCATTGAGAGGATTGTTAAGAAGTAAGTTTTTGATTCGATAATGTGATGTTTGAGGAATATATGCTAACGGTTTGATAGGTACAGGGATTCGCCACAGCAACACCGCGCTGTGTAACAGCGATAGGCCTCGTGGAAATGTCCACTAGACGGTCATAGAATGGGTCTTTGGCGACGATGATATCTTTCTGAGTAGTAGAAACAGTACATTATTATATACAACAGCTCAACAGTGGCTAAATACATACCATGCTTCTGATATTTCATTTCTGCTGAACATGCTCATGGACATGTAATCTCATTGACATCTAATGCTGTAATCACTATCACTCATGTCCATATAGACTCAACACGGTGAATTTGCTAATATACGTTACACATGGACCAAAGATGTTCAAAATACAATCAGTCTTATCATATTCCTACACCCTAAAGACAAATGAAACGCGATTATAAAAGCAATAAACGCAGACTTGACAAGCAAATGCACAAACTCAACTTACTCCACCGGCTCCTCTTCCAGCAAAACCTTGAAGCTAAACGGCTCAAACGCCACACCGTCACCGATGAAATGCTTGCTCATAGCCTCGACCCAATGCAGACGCAACGAATGCAACATGGCACTTGTACCTTCCATGACACACAGCACGGCGACGGTAAGCGCGAACCAGAAGTAGAAGACAAAGACCATGACGAAGGCACCTGCGACGCCAGTAAAGGCAAAGGCGTTCTTCATGGTCATTTCCCAGAGCACAATGGAGAGACGTTGATGGGCGAGGGATAGGGCCCAGAGACGGAGGTATGAGGCAGTATGTGAGACGCAGTTGAGGCAGAATTCTAGAGGAAAAGAGTGTTAGTATGGCGCTTCTTGAGGCAAAGGGAGGGGATGGTAGTGAGGGGAGGGTAGTCTTACCAATGGTGTGAATGACTTGGTGGATCATGACTTCACTGAATTCGAATTCCTCGTGTTCCTCACCGTGGCCAATGTCTTGTGTAATCATGGCAATGCCATCGTCGTCATCTCCAAAGCTCTCACGTCCGTTCTGACGGCCATCAGTCTCGTCGTCATCGTCGTCCATGGCGCTGACGCGGGTGCTCTCGCCGATGCCGCGGTAGCCAAGCGCGCGAGCCTTGTTGTGCTCGTAGCGAAGGTAAAAGGGCTTCAGGAACAGCAGGATGGGAACGCAGGCAAGCGCCATGAGCAGGAGGATAACCTGCACAGTCGCTTGGCCTGGGTAGAGCGGTGAAGTGCCAGCCTCGAGTGTACCCGGGCTGAGGAACATGTAGATCAACATGTTGAGCAGACTGGGCGGGCTCTCGCCGCGCGCAGGCCAGTCGATGGTCCACTTGTACACAATGGTGAAGGCGAGGTAACCAAAGATGGACTGGAAGAAGATCATACCAGGAACAAAGTTGCCCCAGATGTCGATCTTAGTCTTGAAGTAGCGAGCGTTGACAAGCGACCACATCAGCGAGAAGGTCATGTGGGTCCAACCGAGCAAGATACTAAGCTTCATCTTGTAACTGTTCGAGAACAAAAGGTCGTTCTCGGTGTCGTGCCAGCGGTAGTCCAAGCCAAAGGGGTATGTGTAACCTTCAACACGAGAAGAGGTCGGGCCCTTGCCGTCGTTGTCCCACACCCACATGGACTTGAACCAGGGCAATCCAAGAGAGAAGGCGTCGCAGTAGAGAAGACCGGTGTAGATGGAGAAGATGCCCATCATGAAGACAATGTAACGACCGTAGAACATCATTGAAAACAGCTCATCAAGCTTGCTGCGTTCCAGTCGCTTTTCAAAGTAAATCATAGCGCAAGCCGCGAGAGTAAGAATGACACCGTGTCCAGCATCACCGAACATGACGGCGAACATGAAAGGGAAAGTGACAATGGCCGGCAGAGCGGGGTTGACTTCACGGTACTTGATCGTTCCGTAGGCGTCGATGATGGTCTGGAAACCCAGAGTGAACCTGTTCGACTTGAAGTATGTTGGTGGCGTCTTGGTCGTCTTAATCTGGTTGACGATGGTAGGTACGGAGAGACCGGCACGCTCGTTGACATCCGACAAGGTCGACTTGATCAGTCCGAGGGAGTTGGTAGGAGCCCATGCTTCCGCAATAAGCGTCTTGCGTTGATGGTCGTATGAGAACTTGTTCAGTGTCTCATAGGTAGCCTTCTCCTTCTTTATGACGACCATCCAAGCCGCAAGGTTCCGTCCAATCGCAGTCAATTCAGCATCCAGTGTCGACTTTGTGTTCTTGAGAACGCTAGCGAGGTCGCTCAATCGGGTGTTGACTTCGCGGATCTGGTCCCGGCGTAGCTCGCTGTTCTCGTCAACGCTGTAGAGGTCGGCACCAAGTGACTCTGAGATCTTTCGGATCTTGGCGATGATCTCCTTGCCGTGGGCGAAGATGATGAAGACATTCTTGCTGGTCTCCTCGTTGTTCTCGGGGTTGATGATGGGCTCGGGGATCTCCGACTGGTTCATGTACAAGTTGCCACGGAGAGTACGCCACAAGATGCGCTCAAAGGCGGCGATGCGTTCGCGGGGGATGACACCGGCAACGAAGCCGATGTTCATGCCCGTAAAGGATCGCTCCGCACCGGCATCACCGTTTCCGTTTCCGTTCTGCTCGACGTCCTGGAGTAGCGGCGCGTCATCGTCATCGACAGAATGCCGGATTTCCTCGGTTTGGCCTCGGGCCCTGTCGAAGAAGCCACCCGCCTCTCTCAGCACCCAACGCCACTCTGTCAGCTCCACCTCGCGCTTCTTCAATGTCTCGTAGCTCTCGTTCAACGAGGCGATTCTCTGTTCCAAGCTCTGGCTCTTGTCCGCAAGCTCGTCAATTTCAGAGGCCGAAGGCGCTGTGAAGGGGTTGTTGAAGTCGTAGATGGAGCGCATCGCGATGTTGGACTTCTCCATCTGGGCGCGAAAGTAGCGGAGCTGGCGCTCTACGTTGTCGAGGCGGCGGATCTCCTGAGTAAAGGTGCGTTGGAAAGCGGTCGTCTCCGAGTTGAGCTAGCACGTCTCGTCAGCTTCATATCTCAGCGCATCCGTCCCGGAGCTGCACGCGAAGCTCCAGACTATGTGTGTTCATACTCACATCTCTGAAATCCATCACTCCGAGCTCGCCGAGGCCAGACACGACCTCGCGGCCAATCTCGTTGGCAATGTAAAGCTGGGTCAAGGACATGTCCGCTGAGCGGAACATGGTGTCCTTGGTGGGCGCCATGGTGGCGGTTCGGGAGACAAGACTTCGGGGGCGGTGCGCTTGTCTCGTCGTCTGATGGGGGCGCGATAGGCGAGATGGTGGTTGATGAGAGCTGCCTCAACTACTTGCCATGATGCGAACCACATGCAGGAGCTTAGCGCCTTGACGCGCCAAGCCTTGTTACTGATGTCACCAGCTCCATCCCGGCCACGTTAGCAACACGGAAATGCACTTTCATCACTCAATATTATAATTGACGACACTCTTTTGTTCTCGTAACTCATAGTGGTCACTGATCTTGATTTAAACAGATAAGTAAGAATCAAAACCACAGACAAGACCCAAGCATCCGCCCACCGAAGATGCCGGTCTAACCCCGGTAGATATCCAAACACACGACTACCTACCATGATACAATAAAAGACTACAGAATAGGAGACCAGCAAGTTTCATTTACGAGGAATCAAGTTTGAAACTTTATTAGAACATTGTAGAATACCCAAAACGGAACCCAATCGCAGTTTGCAGTCGCAATCGCAGAACGCCATGCATACGTAAGCAGATCGTTTCTTGTTCCAACAACAAAAAAACAAGACTGGAGAGTAAAAGCAAAAACAAAGACCTGAACCTGCCTCCCCGAAAAGTTAATGTTATGTTTTTTGGGTTCCTCGCTGTCGTAAGAGGGTGACCAAATGCGCTGTAAAGTGTGCTTCGCCTGAACACCAGGTATCGTAATCAAAAGCAAAACGCGCCCGGCTCGATTGCAAAGAATGTATTGTATGATTGCGAACAACGGTTGGAATGCAACGCAGATACTCAGCACCGACTTGATATCTTAGTCTAATCGTCTATTGCTGCGGATAGTAGGCTGCCGGCTGCATCTGCTGAGGGTAGTAGTAGGCACCGTCCGGACCAGGCGTCATCATGCCTCCCATGCCAGGTACGGCATAACTGGGCTGAGCATAATTATCCACGGCTGGAGCAGGATACAGTTGAGCCGAGTCCACATAGTATGTCATACCGTTAGACTCATAAGCGACCATATTTGGTGGGCCTGCAGGAGCTGGTGGAGCGGCGACAGGAGGGGCAGACACTGGCATGACATATCCGGGTTGTTGAGCACCAGGGACAAACATGGGTACCATACCAGCAGGTGCCATGTATTGTGGTTGAGCGTTGTTCTGTGGATAGTAATAGCCTTGTGGGACAAAGGCTTGTGGTTGGAAGCCAGGCTGTGCGTATGGCTGGAAAGTGGGCGCGTGGATTGCGCGTTCAGGGATGTTGTTAAGAGGAGTTCCGGTAGATACCTGGCTAGGGTATGAGGGATGGCGCCCGTGCTGGTAGAAAGATTGATCGTTTGCCTGGGTGGCCCCGTTGATATGTGCAGGGACCTGTTGATGGAAAGGCTGTTGCTCCTGTTGTTGTGGGGGGTTGAAGCTCATGGAAGCAGGCGACTCGATGCCCGCTACCGACACAGTTTTCTGTGGGCGAGGCTGATGCATGGGGATCTGACCTTGCCAGTTCTCACGGAATGTCGGCTTCTGTGGAAGAGGGTATGGTGGCTGCACTGCGCCGTTGGTGGGCGATATTATCGACGGCCCGCTCGGCATCCTTGGACCGCCGGGCGGCAGACGTACCACAGGACGGCTAGGGTCAGCAAAGCCGCCATTGCGTGACATGATAGATCCAGCGGGAGATACCAGGTTGTCGCGGCCCATTTCTCGTGCAATAGATGAACGCCTGCTCATTGCGACGCTTGGCGAGTACACGCTGCCCCCGTATGCGCTTGTGCGCCTGCTCGAGAAGCCTCCGCCAAAGGAACCAAAACGGCCGCGACCCCGACCGAAGCCCTGCTGGTTGGGTCGAAGGGCCCTTGGGATGAAGATAAATGAGCGCTCGGTAGTTGGGAAAATGTATCGGGGTGGGGCCGGAGGTAGCGATATACGAACAGGCTTATCGCGGCGGAGGGGCGGTCGGTGGTTTGGAAGGCGAGTATGCTGCTTTATGGGGACGTTCTGGAAATGTATAGGGCCCTTCATGTTGGGCAAAAATACCCGAACCATGGCATTGTGAGTATGTACTGTGGTTGAAAAATTACGAGCCGGCGTAGCTTTCTGGGCTGGCCCTGGTGGCACTCTCGAAGCAAACAACTGTGCATTTGAAGCATGCTGATTAGACGCAGTTGAAGGCGGGTGGGGATGTGCCTGAGAACCAGGGGCATTGACTGTCTCGTGAAGATCGTGCTGCCACGGCGAGTCGGTAGCTTCTGGGGGCTGTGGTCTCATGCTGCGGCACACATTAGTATCATGTGAATTGAAAAGGGGCTCTGCATTTCAACGTACTTTGCAGGAGAGAACGGCCCTCTGATGGGAGCACCCCGCCCTCGACCACGGCCAGCAGGGCGGAAGCCGTTTTGGCCGGGAGCATGCCGCTGGTCGTGCATAAAGAAAGCTCCACGATTGGGTATGAAAGCTGGGTCCGAGTCACGCTTCTTCTTGTACTCGTCATGTTCCCGCCGCCGCCGCTCCGCCAGGGTCTCCGCCCGCGATGAGGGCGCGCCGACAGCAGGTGCTACCTCTCCGGCGGCCACGCCCGTCTCAAAATCGACAACCTTGGCCTCGTTGGCGCCCTCTCCAATCTTCAGCCCATTCATCATGATTTCCGTCTCCTTGAGGGCAGTAAAGGCGACATCTGAGCGGGCTATAGGCGGGGAGGGTTGGCGGTCGCTGGCGCTCTGCCGGGGCTTTGCATCTCGAGCACCGTTTGCTTTCCGCTTGGACTTTCCCTGTGTGAGCGAGGGCGCACTATCGACTTCGCTCAGGTCGCTGTTGTCGGCATCGGCATCCTCGTCGACGTCGCTCAGGACTGAGGCGTCGCTCTGGGAATCGTCGGCCAGCGTTGCCACCGACTGGCTCTCATCTTCGTCATCCGTTCGCCTGCGACGCGCAATGTTGGTGGACCTCTTGCGGGCTGGAGCCATGGTTGCGGGGTCTGGATGGTGGGCGAGTACGAGGGCGCGATAGAGTCGGCGTGGGGTGGTGGTCCTAGATCGGCTTGTGAACGTCGGAGCGATGACTCGGGTGCGGAGAAGCGCTGCGAAGGCGAGACCAGCAGCGTACAAGGCGCCAAGGGTGCGGATCTGGAGGCTGCAGCGATTGCCGTCGTGATGGAGCGGGGTCGGTTATCTGGACTGAGGGCTGGCGTACTTCGACCAAGGTTAGGTGATGTCTGATGCCTGAGAAAATAGCTATGACGGAGCTTGCCGTGCGGGAAAGCCTGGTCGCGGAACCGGTTGATTCGCGCTACTCCACATCAACCACACCACGTCGAGCATCCGAGCACGCAAACACTCATCGTCATCACATCACAACGCAATCACTTCACTGTTTGCAGTTGCGATTTGTTGGGGCAATGTGTGAATCTAAAGACTAATTACGCTAGTGCCATTTGTCTGGCCACATGCTTTAGCCAGACTAATGCTAAATGCTTGGCCCTTTCCCTCCCCTTCCCCTTTTAAACGTCCATTGCGTCCACGTTCATCGTGAACCCTATCCTGCGCCATCCCAATGCTGCCCGCTTGGATGCTAGTGACAAACGCCTGTAAATGCCTCGAGACCTGCGGGTATAGACAGGGGTATGCGTGCAGATGCTCGATAATGACTAGGAAAACTTAAAGAAAAGGCTCATGTTATACAAATCCCCCATCCTTCTGCAACCAGACTATTGCTGGATTTTGGAAGAGAAAACAAAAATGGCTCAACCAGACAAGCTGAACTCGCCATGAGCAAAGCACAAAGCCTGTCATCGACAGGGATGTTGGGGCAATTAATTGGGATTTAGGTCATGAATGTACGTGCAGTTTTCACCCTTATTGCACTGACCCTTGTGGAAGAATTTGCACGCAAGTACCTTGTGCGGTTTATGATCACCACGGTTCTTGGGCCGCTTTCCTTGATTGCGGTCGTTGCTGCCGTTACTGTCATCGCGCTGCCGCTTGACCCCGCCGTTGACCTGCTGATTGTACTGGGCCTGATAGGAAGCGACGTCCGGTATCTGCTGAGACCATGCTGCAGCCTCAGGTTGCTGGGGCTGGGGTGCCATGGGAAATGGAAACGGAGGGAATCCTGTTGGTAGTGGTGGTGGGGGAGGAAGAGCGCCTCCAGACGCTGCCTGCATGTTCGCGATGATTGCGGCAATATCTAGCGGCATGCCCGGCTGTGGCATTGGCGGCTGTGATGGGAATGACACAGGTGGAGCGGGTTGGGGAGCAGCCTGGCTGTTGGTAATTGAGTTGAGAATATTCTGAATATTAGCGCCGTCCCAAGAAGCTGTTGGAGGCTGAGGTGGTGTGTACACATTCTCGACGGGAACTACTGGTGTAGGAGCTGGAGGTGCGTTGGTTGCCGACAACTGCTTGATGAGGTTTTCCAAATGACTAAAGTCCTGTGCAGTCGCTGGGGTGGGCGCCTGTGGGCACTTGGCCAGCACCATGTCTGGTGGAGTTCCAAACTGAACAACAGTGCCAGCCGCCGCATCCTCTTGCGCTAGCTCCAAAGGTTCCTTTGGAGACGGTGGAATATCGTCAGTGTTAGAGTAGTAGACCATCAGCGTAGCGTTTTCGCGTTGCACATTGGCTTCCTTTTCAGGGCACGACGGTTCCAGGAAGCCACCTCCATATGGCATGTAATTACGCTCGCGCTCCTCTTGGCGTACAACACTAAAGTCGACCAGAGACGGTGGGTTCCAAGACTTCTGCTCAGTATCCAGTTCTTCATCGTCATCGTCCAGATCAAGCTCCTTGTGTTGCTTGAACATGTGGCCTTCCCCACCAATGTCACCAGCGTCGCGAACAAGGTGATCTTCCTTGTGATGCATCTCTTCATCGTCAGCCTCGTGATCGAAATATTTGATCTCAACCAGCGTTGCATCATTCCGCCAAGAGACACGTAGATGTCTTCGACGCTCCTTCCGTTCGCGTTTCTCCTTTTCTTGCTCAGTCTCAACAGGTAGCGGCTTTTCAGACTTGACAGGCGCTGCTTGCTGCTCTTTGGGCTTCTGAAGTGAGGCCATGGTCTGAGCGAAAGAAAATGCGGGTTTCGCTGCCGCCGCAGGCTTCTTCTCTTTCGTTGCGGATGCGGCAGTTTTGACTGCGTTGGCACCCTTCGCACCTGTCGTAGCAGCTGGTGGTGGTGCTGTCTTTTTGGCGGCCGCAGTGAGGGAAGCAAAGATGCCTGAAGGTTTATTGGTGACTTGGCTGACGCGTGTCTTTACGGGAGCTGGCGCTGCTGCAGCTCTCTCACCAGGTCGCTTCTGTACAGTCAAAGTTGTAGAGGCGGTTACGGTCTTTGCACCCGCAACATCTTTCTTCGCGGTGACGGAAGCTTCGGGGGCCTTTGGCTTCTTCATCAAAGGATTTTCATTCAGTGAACGGCCCGCGGCTTCCGAGGCAGATCTTTTGAGGCCTTTACTCTCGGCTGGCTCGACCCGTGGTGGCGGACTTGCTTTCGCCTTCTTAGAGTTGGCCACGGCACCATCGATCACCTTTTGTATGAAAGCCTTGTGTTTCTCATTTGCGTGTTTTTTCATAGACGCAAGTGCCTTCAAGAGCTTGGTCTCCTCAAGGACCTCAGAAGTTAAGGTACCACAACGCGACAGCACCTCGTATATGACTGCAGACAGGGGCCCATCATAATCCTTACTATGGAACCGGTTCGCCAAAAACTGATAGCAAAGATACAAAAATGGCTTGATATGTCCCAATTGATAGAGCACATCAGGATGGGCAGACTCGAGCGCCGCCCCAAGGGCAGACTTGAGAAGGTCACGCTGACTAGTAACTCGGCTCTTAAGCACGGGCAGCTCACCTGTCTTCTTTTGCTCTTCTGCTTCTGTCACGGCTTTAGTATCAGCCCGCCACCGCTTCTGAATGGTATTGAGGACTTCCCAGATCTCGCGCATGCTAGTCTTGATCTGGTCTGAACTCGGCACCGATGTTGATGGATACCATGTAGCTTTGATGACATCGTAGCGTACAGCTGCATCAGGATCTTCTGGCCTTGAAGCAGGCACCGGCATTTGCTCTTCTTCTTCGTCCGAGGAGTCGGTGTCGTAATCAGAGGAGTCGGTCGAACTTTCGCTGTCACTGACTTCTCTCTTCAAGTCTGGCCTCTTAGTAGATTTGAGAGCTCTTGACTGGGACTTGGTTGCCAACTGTTTCGCCCGAAGCTTCTTGCTGTCAGCTCCAGCTTTCTTCAGATCTTTAAGAGACTGCCGAGGAACGTATACGGGGAGCGCGGCTACACATGTGTTAGACATTACTTTAGGTGAACATTTCATGCATTTAGGCTTACTTCTATTGGTAGCAAGATGGAACGGCTCCGAGCCCAAAGTCACAAATTTATTCAATGGAACAGAATTAGTGGCTTTCGCCAGAGCAGCTTGATCAACAACATATAGCCCGCCCGACTTCCTGCCTTTGGGAATCTCATATTCAGGAATAAGCACCGGCTTGACAAAAGAAGCTGGTGCAGAACGCTGCTGAGTGAAAACCTCTGCCGTGCTTCTTTGTTGCTAAACTCGGTTAGTGTTTGTTTGGAGGTCGGAGAGTGAAAGTGCTTACTTGTTGAGGAGTCGCAGTGGCCCGAGCTTGTAGTGAGGGCACGTGATGTTGTAAAGCTTGGGGAGTCACAGTAATACCATGTGATTGCGGAGGTGCAGTGCGCATCGGCATTTGATACGGTGACTGCTGCTGCTGTCGGATTGCATTTGGGTCTAATCCCAGAGATGGATCAACATTTGACGGTTGTCCATAGCTGCCCAGTGTCGGCTGCTGCGAAAATTGACCACCATACTGGTAGGGTGAGGCGGTGCGAAGACCCTGAGTTGGGCCACCATAGGACTGGCTGATGGCGTTGAAGGGTTGCTGCTGCTGCTGCTGCTGCTGACTAAAGCTATGGTGCCAGGCTTGGCCACCCGATGCATTGGGTGGCAGACCCGAATGGTGTTGCAGCTGAGCTTCCCATGAGGGGGTGCCGTAGCGGTCGACAGAAGAAAAGAGATGCTGGTATGAAGGGTCGTAGACGTTTTGGCCCTGGATGGGCACTTGGTCACTCGGCACGTGATTAGAGGCCATGATGTGTGGCTTGCGAGTGGCTTGGCTTGTTGGCTAACAGATGTGTCAGCTGTCAATTGCAGGGTTGTGATTGGTTGGCAACGCACAAGTGTCTGAGACCGTCAAACAGGATTGAATTAGGCGGCTATGCAGACGCACTAGGCGCAAAATGGACTGGCGCAGAGTCACAAGTGTGAAAGGTTGCCGATTCGGGGAAATGTAAAGCGGAAAAAAGGTCGATAAAGCTTCCGGTTGTGGCGGTAGCGTAGAGTTGCTGTGAAAGGAGGCCTGTTGCCCAGGGCCTGCAGTGCTTTGCAGAACGCGACCGGCCTGCGGACTCACCGAGGCCGTTGCTGTCTGCCTGCGGTCCCTTTGGTTTGGTGCTCGAAAGCGACAGACCTTCAGCTGTCTCACGACGCAGTGCCCGTGTTGCGTGTCCCCCCGGTCCGCGATGTGCAGATTTGGCCTTTATGGAGACGGCACTTTTTTGCGTCGCGTATTATGCGATGACGAGCACACGGCTTGGGCGTCACTTGACGATTGCGCGCACCCAGAGCACACCACACGCGGCGCTGTGCCTGCTTGACACGCTACCGTCTGTTGCCTGCGAAGGCAGCCGAAGTCCACGATGGGCCTGGATTAGTAGCAGATGCTGAAGATGATGGTTTGGTCACTCTGCCCTTCACAGCCGCACGCCTGTCCCGACAAACGCCTCTGCCAGCCTGAGCGCACACTTCCCCCAAAGCAAGGACTCGAAGTAGAATCTAGCCTCAGAATCAGATGCCCTTATTTAGGTGGGCGAGAGTTCACTGAGAAGTAGCATGAGTGTCAAGAGGGAAGAAGGGGGATGGGGTTGTTGTGGGCGAGGTGAGTTTAGGAGCGAGGGAGCCCGCGAAGGGGGGAGCCCGTTTTCAAAGGTTCGCCCGCTCGCCAAGTAGCGTGTCGCGCTAGCCTCAGGTGGGGCAGGCAACCACGGTGAGCTCGAGCATCATCATCGCCAAAGACACGGATCCGGAACTGGAACTGCTGAGTGAAGGAGGGCAAGCTGCACACGCGCCACCGTGTCTTTTTCAAGTTTGCGTGCACATCGACCATCTTCCACCCTCACACTGCCTAACCCTCTGTGCATGCAAATAATTTGGTGTAGCGGCGGGCGCCAATCCCACTTTCCAACATGTCTCCTCCTACCTCTCTGAGGGACCGCCAGATAGGTACTGCTTTCCGCTGCCACATGTCTCATATCACGACACCACTACTAATACACCGACAGCTGCGATCAAGCGTATCTTGCATCTGAATGCGCCCATAACAAACGCCGACGCCCAAGACGATGCCAATCCTGTCGCAGACACGGCCGAAATCCAGTGGAAGGTGCTCGTGGTCGATTCCGAGGCGCGCGATGTCATCAGCACTGTCCTGCGCGTGAACGACTTGCGGGCGGCCGGCGTATGTTGACAACCTCCTGCAGCGCTGCCACACAGTACTGAGTGTCTTATAGGTCACCGTCCACTTCAACATCAAGGCCAAGCGACACCCAATCCCCGATACCCCAGCCATATATCTCATATCCCCCACATCCGAGAACATAAACCTGGTCGCAAAGGACCTCCAAGAGGCAATGTACCAGCCCGTATACATCAACTTTCTCTCAAGCATACCCCGGGCACTGCTCGAAGACTTTGGAGGACAGGTCGCCGCTTCGGGTGCTGAGCACATAGCCCAAATATACGACCAGTACGAACCCTATAAGCCACATGCACAACTTCCACTGACTTGATCAAGGTTCCTCAACTTCTCGACCCCCAACAGTGACTTGTTCTCTCTCAACATCCCCAACGCCTACCGGATAATCAACAGTGCAAACACACCCGATCAGGAGCTTGATGAGCTGATCGATCGGATAGTCTCTGGTCTCTTCTCAGTTGGTAGGTGGTCATTCTGCCGTTGTATCGAGTTCCATAAAGAAACAAACTGACATGATTTGCCAATGTTCCTAGTGGTCACCATGGCTGTAGCTCCTATCATTCGCTGTCCAAAGGGAGGTGCCGCTGAGCTCATCGCTGCAAAGCTGGACAGAAAACTTCGCGACTACATCCTCAACAGCAAGGAAAGTTTTTCCTCTGCGGCCTCATCGCCACGGCCTGTGCTTATCATCTTAGATAGGAGCATAGAGTAAGTACATTTGCTCAAGTCTGTGGCACAGTATCTAACGTATACAGTTTATGTGCGCTTCTTGGTCACAGCTGGATCTACCAAAGTCTCGTGGCTGATTGTCTACCCTTCCACCTCAATACTGTAACTCTTACGGTTCCCCTGGACAAAGAGGACCCATCCAAAGGGTACTGTGCTTGCTCCTGATATATGAACATCAAACTGATTCATTCGCAGTGTGAAGAAGAATACGATTGACCTTACTGCCACCGACTACTTCTGGAGCCGCAACGCAGCATTGCCCTTCCCTGAGGCAGCCGAGGATGTGACGAATGAATGGCAAATGTATCAACAAGATGCGGAGAAGTTAACAAGGAACACCCCATCCAAGTCTATAGATGACTTGGCCGAGGCGAATTTTGCGTCACACTTGAAGGGTGCGATCGCCCAGCTACCCGCACTTCAAGAGAAAAAGCGCGTTTTGGAAGGGCATATGGCAATACTGGAGTCCTTGTTGGACGGCATTCGCAACCGAAAACTTGACGAATGGTTCCAACGCGAAGCCGACCTAGCCAAAGAGACGCCGGAGAGTGTCTTGCAGATAATACGTGGAGAAGGCGGCAACGATCCAACAGACAAGCTGAGGTTCTTCATCCAATTCTACCTGACCACAGCGCAGGAGCTTACGCGAAGTCAATTGGAATCTTTCGAATCGGCACTAAAAGCTGCGGGTGCAGACACGAGCGCTTTAGCGTACGTGGCTAGCGTTCGTTCAATCAGCAAAATGACAACCATGGCTGCACCTACAAAGCCGGCACAAGCTCCTGTGACTAATTTGTTTGGTGGGCTTTCCAACTTGAGCTCAAGGCTCAAGGATGCTGGTGGTTTTTCTGCTAACCTGGATATCTCTGGTGTACTGAGTGGGATCAAGCAATTCATACCGTCCAACTCAGACCTTCCAGTCACCAAGATAGTCGAAGTACGAAGCTGCCCCTCAACCGATTACTGGTCACTGCTAATGTTCACAGGCCATTTGTGATCCATCAAGCGCGACATCTGCGCAAAGTGCTATGACAGAAAACTACCTATACTTTGATCCGCGGTCATCGAATGCTCGCGGTACCTTACCGCCAGCAAGCCAATCGCGGAACCAACAACAGCAAAGTCGAGGCCTTGAAGCTACATTTGGCCAGAAACGCGCTGCATTCACGGAAGCTATCTGTTTCACCGTAGGCGGTGGTTCCATGGTAGAGCAGAGTAACCTCTCCTCATGGGCTTCAAGAACGAGTGCAGCTGGTGCTGGTCCAAGACGTGTGGTATACGGCAGCACAGAGCTATACTCTGCGAACAAGTTCATTGAAGAAGAGCTGAACCCGCTCGGGAAAGAAATGACTTGAGCTGTTTCGCTCAGTAAAGGGGATAATGAGTCGGCCATGTCAGACTTCGATATATCATGATGTATTAACGAAGCAAAAACCTTGATACGTGATATATCACACACAAACACCACATGCAACTCACCGCTACATCATTGCGCGTCTTTTCATGTATGCTTTTTCTTCCTGTTCTAATCGAAATTCCTTGTACGAGCACTTACTCGCGCGCGTATGCAACCCAAAAAAACAGGGTCCTCTCCAACCCCAACCCCAACCCCCCTCGCATTGAAGTTTCATCTCTACCGGGCTGACCAAGAAAAGGCCGCAGTCGCAGCCGAGCAAGAACAAGGCAAGGCGAGTTGCAAAGGATTCAAAGAAAAAAGAAACAACCAAAAAATCTCAACAAGATCTGAAACTTGTCTACCTGCATAATCGGGTTGAGCCCACCACGCGAGACGCGCGACTCGACTTGCATGCTGCATGCACAAACTGCTCTTGTCGGTTTGATCGACACCGTATCAAGATTGCCGTAGCTTGCATGATGTTTGTGTGTGTGTGTGTGTATGTGTGTGTGTAGATACCTACTATACACGTAGCTAAACATAACCCCCTTGTGGTTATCGTGGTGGTTCTGCTTCTTTGATGTGTGTAACCCCCCTGTTCAGCCCATGTCAGCCATGCCCTAGCCGTGTAATCAACGCGCGACAAAACGACAAAACAGCGAGTCTTGAGTCAGGCAGATCGCCGAACAGGATGTTGTGGTGTGGCTGACGGCGTTGATGTCGGTGAGGCGGGTGGTCGGGGGACTCGGGAGAGACAGAGGGAGAGGGTTAGAAAGGAAAAAAAAGGAAGCAAGATGGATATGCGTACGTATGCGTGAGATGATGCAATGTACAAGGCATGAGAGAGAAGACGGACTGGGGGTTTGAATCAGCGCAACGCAGCGATGAGAGGAAAAAGAAAAAGAAAATTACGGGTCAGGAAGGCTTCTAGAAGGATGCGTGGAAGCCTTTCTACCCTGCCGTGCGATGAGGTGCGGTAGCGATGCCCCATCTGAAACCTGAGGCTGAACTGAACTCAGGGTACGATAAGTGTGGTTCGTGCATCTGTGGGACCATGGTCTGTGGATTCTGGTGGTGGACTGGGGTTGTTGTCATGTTCAACAAGATGACGTTTACCGTTTGTGTAGATTGGCAGATTCACGTTTTGACAGGGGAGCTGGGATGCACTGGGTGGGCTAGGGGCAGTTACACGAGAAAAAAGTAAAGTGTGCATACTGTGCTTCAGAAAACGGAGCAGCCAAGTTGCCGTGAACCGAGCCGTGAGCCGAGGTTCGTGATTTACGGTTTTCCACGTGGATTGGGTGGGGTTTGGGATTCGCAGGGTAAGGCAGGGCAGGGGAGGGGTGAGTGTATGAATAGATATGCACGGAGTGGATACGATGTGATGTGACGTGTTGGGTTGGGCTGGGGTTGGTTGGGTTAAGCTGTGGGTTTGAGGGCAAAATGGCTTTAGAAGGGGGATGGGTGGCGAATCATGATGTTGCTTGGTGGCGTGCATGATGTGGTGTCGCGTGGGCATACACGTGGGAAAGGGCTGGGGTGTTTGCTGTGCGAGAGTGGAGATTTGGTGGTTATTGATGTGCTCAACAAGTTTGTAGACGGCGATGTTGGTGGTTGGCTTGTACGGACGGCCGGGTTGGTGACAGATCATTGGAAGTGTTTGATGGTTGGGATGTAAGATAGATGTGGTTGAGTATACAGAATATAATATACAATATACAAATTTCTATGTAGAAAGCCGTAGGTAAAGTGTTATATACAGTCTATAAGTCGTTATGCCCAACCCGTCTATAGTGTCATCAATCTATACCAAATTCAACCCCAACTCCTTTTCAGTGACGTGAAGGCCCATGTACCCGATGATTCCTCACATCCATCTCATTAGAAACAGCCAATCCTGCATTAAACTCCACATCCCCAAATATCACTCCCTTTGATTGTAGCGTCCAGCTGACGCTTGGTTTGGAACCTCCAGTGAATGGGTTCATGCTCGTCAAGATCCATCCTCGCGCCAAGGGGGCATACTCCGTGTCTTTGACCACCGCGGGAACGGCGATGAGCAAGGTCTTGGAATGCTCGAATGGCGCAAAGATGATGGCTTTGCCACTGTGTGTAGGGGCTCCGGTGTAGTTGTACGCAGATGAAGCGGGCGCGGCGACGATAAGCGGGCCGTGTGTGCGTTCCGAGGCGCCTGATGGCCATGGGATACCCGATGAAATCATGGTAGACAAAAAGTGGATGAGCGATACCATCGCTGCCTGCCCTTCTGGTAATAGAATAAAGTTTTGCAGTATGAGCTGGGGATTAAGTAGCATCTCCATGGTGTAAGGATCCATGTATGGTGCGTTAGGCTCTTGGATGCTTGTGTGGACTTCCAATAACCACTGGAGTCCGCACTTGAGCACACAGGCCAATGTTTGGATGAACATGTTGCGCAAAGCCGGTGTGCGCGGGTGGTCGGGCGCGCGCGAGAAACCCCAAAAGCCAGATCCAGGTATTTGGTATTGAACACAAAGATCAATGATCATCCGAGCTCGAACGACGTGTGCGGGGAATGAAGGGCTAGGTTGCCTACGGTGCGGTAGTTCCAGGAAGACAAGATCAAGTTGTGCATACTCTGCTCTACCGTCTGTTGCTTGAACAATCTGAGTTGCATGTGTTGGAAATCGCGCTGGAGTCGGTCTAGATGCTTTTACGTCGAGATTGGTTGGCCGACATAGCCATGATACTGATCCGTCGTGAAGCTGAAGTGGTGTGCCCGTGGTACAGAGTGCAACTGGATCTCGCGCCGCGATGCCTACTAGTAGTAGTGATCGAAGGCATTCATCCTCAATGTTGGGTCTCGAAAAGGGACTTGAAGGTGCCAAGGCTAGAGGTAAGCCCGACATATTCAGTGTGATGCCCGTCTTGTCCCGATTCGCATCCAACCTCCTAAGATACTCTGGTAGCCGTGGGTTTCCCCCGGCTTTCATTCGGAAAGTGTCATAGATCAGCGGAAACAGCGACTTTGTTGTCGAGACTAGGCTCTGGGGAGTATCGGGTCTTTGAGGGAAGAGTATGTCGTTATCGAGAGCGTCGTTTTGTTGGAAGAAATCCAAAAGTGAATGGATCTTAGCAGATGATTGCGGTGCGAAATTTGCAAGTTCACTAGCCAGTGCCAGCAAATGGGTAAAGAAAGCACCAGTAAATCTGAGGATGGTCTGGACTTCGTCTTCGTAATGTCGTAAGCAAGGGACCAAAAAGACGTGGCTTCTTCCCAGCTTCATCTCATGGGTGCACCATGCACGCTCGAACCATTCTGAACATATGATGCGCTCGAGCAGTGTCCTGAGTAGATCGTACTGCTGCATGAAAGGCGGATCGAGTCCTGTGTTGGGTTGCTGATTTGGGTGTAGGTTGGTGTAGCTATATTGCTCGACGTAGTAGCGCAGGAACTGTTCCTCGTCCGGCGTGACTACAATGTCGTCCAGCGCTACAACAACTGCCCTCGCATTCTTGTAGATGCTGTCAACAGCTCCAACGAGTGCGGTCTTGTCTGATTCTTCCTCCTGTTCAATGCACACCTGATCGAACCACAGCCCCTCTCCTGCGCGTTTTTCTTTTATGATAGCCTGAAACAGTGCTGCACTTGTCGGTAGTGGGAACTGCTCAAACTCCTTCTGCCACCCAAAGGGAAGATGCCCGACGGGAGTTATCACTCTGCTCGGTATGTTTGCTATGCCTTGTTTTCTGCAATAACTGAGGGCGATATAACTGTCTTCTTCTCCTTGGAAACCGACGTCGTTGATCAGCCGAAAGGGGAATGTGCTCTCCGCGTGGCTCTTTGGCATGAATTCTTTGACGAGCGAGGGTGCCAGACGTCCGAGGTCCTGTAGGAGCGTAGTCGCTTCGAGGTCGGTGGCTGGTGTCGATACCATCCATCTCTGTCGGCTGAGGAGCTTCTCTCTTGTAGATGACTTCACAACTCGCGCCTGAAGACCCGTTGTGTCCAGCTCGTCCTCATCGACATCAAGGAATTCGCACTGTCCGAATCGGGCGAAGAATGGGGATGGTGCTGGTAGAGCCATTTGGATAGGAATGTACATAGTTCAAAGTCTTGATAACGAAGCTGTAGAAGTACTTGATGGACGACTGGTAAGCCTGGCGACATGGCATCCAGGTCTTTTTGATACTGTACACCACTTTTACAAGAACCATGACCCTTGAACTGTCTACAGGCATACACGATTCCCGACGCACAGGCCCACACACGTCTTGGGTTCATCTGTAGACGACGTGACAACAGGGTGGAATGCATAAGCGTCTTCTGTCAGCCGCTCGTGCATTAACCGCCGCAATGCACATTTGCGGGGAAACACAAGGCCTTGGCAGGTGGACAACGGGGGCTTTGGACGTATGAAGCGTAGTGGAGCATACTGGAACATGGTAGATTGAGTGAGCCAGATACTCGGGATGCTGTGTGGTATGGCACGGACCTCATGCAGGACGAAAGCGGGAAGATCGGATGACGTCGTAATCATCGGAAGGAGTAGCCGTGATTGGAAAAAGAAAAAAGTATGACTTGAAACAGTGGTGCATGGGCTCGCTCAGCCCAACGGTCAGGTGTAAGCTAGAAGTTCTAGAAGGAAAAAAGCAACGTGTTCTACACAGTCCTGTAATCTCCCACGGCACCAAATTTTCCGAGTACATACCGCTTCGAATGCAAAGCCTTGTAAGTAGTGTCGTGTTCTTCCATGAGACCAGGGAGGTTGAACTGTGCTGATGGGGTCAGTGCTGCCATTGGCCATGATAGTCATAATCGACTCATCAATCGTTTCACGCCGAATCACGATGTAGACAAAAATAGGCAGGCGACAAGAAGTTCGATCCCAGTACAGAGTAGAGAGATGTACGACCCAAGAACACCATTCCATACTCCAACTATTACCATAACAGGTGCGTAGTCCTCGGCTGCCAAACCATAAACGTTTCGCAACACCATAACTCAAATCTTTGCGCCGTTGAACGCTCAGCCGTACGCGACAGTCATCGAAACGCATAATTGACAAATCCCCAAACAAACAGCTAGTCGATCTTTGCATTCGCGAGCCTATCATTGGAGCCTGCGATTACGTTGGACATTCGGACGTTTTGCCGTTTGTACTTGCTGTGTTTCCGAAGGCGTTTCCGTGCAACCATGACTGGCACCGATGATTTAGTGACAAGATAGTTACTGAAAGATCCGAGTAAAACACTGTTGAAATTAGTCAGTCTGTCTTCGACCATAGGGATGTAACCATGGGGATGTAAACCTACCCCTTGAGAGCGTTCCGGCCACGCGAACCAAGAATGACGAGCGTGGGCTCCAAAAAGTCAATCTGTCAAACACTGTCAGCATGTTGCTCAAGTGTGAAACATGTTTTGAACAAACTCACCACCTCGGTTATCATGTGCTTGGGACTCTTGCAATGGAATACCTCAACCACAGCACGCACTTGAAGACGTGTCTTCCTCAACAGCTTTACGCATCGATCCGATACTTCTACACAGGCCTGATATCGGTCTCTCTCGGCTTTTCCCATGGCTTTGAGGTTTGCCTCTGTTGCCATGAGTGAGTTGGACAGGGCGGAGGGTCCTTGTTGTGCTGTTGGTAGCCCGTCATGGTTGGACAACGTTCGCTTCAAATGATCCGACTCCTGTCTTCCGGTAGTCCCTTGACTGATAGGCGCGCCAGTAGCATCGGTCGTTGCAACACCCGTCTCTTCATCGACAGCATACACTGCCAACAGAGTGTCGCCATCACGCAAAACTGTGCCGATTGTCCACTCTAGAGCGTATGCAGCTTCGTCGCTGAGATCAGTGGACACGAGGTATACACGCTGTCTTCTGAGCCCTTTGGTAGCATCCTCTGCAAATTGCACATAGTCACCTCTTATAATCTGCCGGACACAACGGTGTGCGTCTGGGTTTGATTGGATAGGCGAGATATTCAACGAGAGCTGTTGAGCGGATTTGATTTCTGCAAGCTCATCTTCGTGGTCTGAATGGACTGGAGTCGAGAGGCCGGAACCGCCCTGGTCAAAGCTCGTGTGAGGGTGCACGACTCCAGATGAAATCTTTCTTGACAGTTTGCCATTAGGACCGGTGACGCTGATGTTCGGATCAAGTAATGATCGCACTTTGTAGGAAACGGCTACATCTCGCCCTGCGTAAAGTCAATGCCTCGTTCTGTGTCAGTATTGCAGGTAGTACTCACGCTCTTGCTCCGCCGCAGCCAGCAAGCTCTTAGCAGTGATGACTTCTCTCCCCATACTGTCGGTACCTACAGAAGATTTTCTAGACCGCTGCCTGCCTCTCTCTCGTTTCTTCGTGCCGCCGCTCCACCCATCCTCCCAGTCGGAACTATCCGAACCGTTATCACTACTTTCGACAGCAGCACTGTCTTCGCCATCGTCGTCGGTAGCTAGGCGAACACCTCCGCCGGGGGCAGCAGTAGTGCCTTTAGCAGGATCCGACCCTTTGCGATTGGGAAGTGAGGATAGACCACCCTCCGAGCGGGCCAAAGCAGAGTCGGAGAGTTTGCGGTATGCGGTATCCATGTCGATGCGCTTGCCTGAGTCTGTGACAAAGGTGTTGGGTGAAGCAGAGGTGGGTGGTGTCGGGCTTAGCATGCGCGTCGCTGGCGAAGCAGATCTTCCAGGCCCTGGAGAACCAGACTTTGACCTGGCGATGGGTCCATTCACCGAGTTGTGTCTGTCTTTTGAGTTGGATGAGGCAAGAAATCCGGTCGAGTTCCCATATACAGACGACATGGCGCGAGGCTTCGCAGCGGTATCCAGTTTGCCGCCCTGCGACACCCGCTTGGGCATGGCATGTGCGTCGATGGAGGGCAGCATTTCAAACTTGTACGCCGATTCGGGATTTACGCGACGCGGCGATGAGGGCATGGCGAATGGAATACCGGTGCTTCCACGGCTCGAACTTCTGCGCTGGGCGGGCGCATCAACGTCCAACATGCTGCGGATGGGCGAAGCAGCCGAACCAGGGCTTTGCGCGCGCGCAGTTGGGCTCTCAGCGCGACGTCCACTGGGTCTCTGGTTGCCTTCCAGGAGCGCAACAACCTCTCTCATCTCCTCGTCGATGGCGGCTTCGAGTGAGGCCATGGTGGCGGTGTTTGCGGTGTAGGTGCGTGGAAAAGTACTCGACGACACCAGGTCGCGTGGCTAGTGTGGTGCGAATGAAGCTTGGGAATATTCGGCGAAGAATGGGTGTGGAGCGCGGTCGTGTTCGCGGGGTAGCTCGAGTGATGGTCGATATCAATTGCTCAGCGTCGTACTATAGCATCATAGACGCAGCTAGTTGGTGCCAGGAAAACGGACCACAAATACAGGCGCGCAACAGCGAGCGCCCGTCTGGAGATATGTGGGGGGAGCGCGTGATGATACTAATGGCAGTTGTGGGGTACTTAGTTATAATTGCAGGGACTGGAGCTGAAAGTAATGGAAGATGTATATGGCTAGCCGCTGTCGGAGAACAAGTTGTTCCCTAGCACGTTGATGGAAGCGGACGACATATGGAAGAGAAACAGCAAGCAAGCACCAGCGATGGTGAGGCTCTCAGGGACAGTCAGCGCGAGTCGATGGTCGCGGGTGCTCTTGGTCTAGGCGGTGGGAAGTGGGCTTCAAAACCCCTCAGGATCTGGCGGGTTGGCAGTGCTTGGCGGTGCAGATCACCACCAACGTCTCCGACGCAGGGACGGTCTTGCGACGTGGACAAGACGGACTATTTCATGCAGCACGCGGACGCGGAAAGGCTTCCTTATTGCTTGGTACTTGGTATCTGCTTAGTCCAGATTTGCGTGCACACGTCCAACAGCGAGCGTGAATTGATGAACTGATGTCTCCTCCATCGGATGTTGCCCAGACGGCTCGGCCACGGGGCGGCTACCAAGTGTGGCTGTGCTCCGGATGCAAGTGCGGCGTCCGGGCTACAGCTGGCACTCGCCCAGTCTAACCACGAAGTGTCATATGAGCTACTACCTAGCCATGTCAAGTGATGCAGGATAGATGTCAAAACCTAATAGGGTCCACCGCAGCGGTAACGTTGTTCAATCCGATATTATACATACATTTATGAAGCGCTTTCTCTACTGAGAAGTGACCCATATGAAAGCTTTTTACCTCTTCCTCGGCAAGACAATGTTGGCTCGCGCAGCCACGCCGAGCTTGTGGATGGCGTTGCGCCTGTCCCAGATGCCGCTTGTGCCCTGTACTACAGCAATCATTTCCTGGGCAATACGTTGAGCAAAGCTACCCTTTCCACTGCCCATATTCCTCCGCTTCGATGCAGCCGAAATGATCCAATCAATAGCCACACGTCGTCGTTGCCTCTGTCCAAGTGGGACAGGGATTTGAAGAGCGACACCACCTCCAGCAGCACCTCTTTGACTTCGGATGCGCATAAGAGGTGCGACAGAATCAATAGCGAGAGTGAGATACAGTATGGGGTTGAGTGGAAGATGTGATGGCGGAGGCGCGCCTGGAAGCAGAGGTCTTTCCGGTTTAATGTTGGGAATGGGTGACGTTCGTAGGTGTTGCAGAATGAGTGCCATGGTCTAAACACGGTGATTAGTCGACTGCAGGCTATTTTTGGTGGATGGCTGACCTACTCGCTCTGCAACGCTCTTCTTGCCATGTCGCATGAGCAGATTGGTAACCTGATCGACTATCGGGTCATGTCGGTGCTTGATATGACCATCTTTTGGAAGTGGAAGGGAAGGCATCTCGAACTTCAATCCAGGCGTTGTAGGCACTTTTGAGGCAGATTGCAAGTCTACGAGACCCATGTCCATGCCAGTGTCCCCACTCCTTTGTGTCGTCATGGTAGAGTATGACCGTGTGCCATTCGGTGTCATGTTGGGCGTCGTCTTTGGCTTTTGCGAGTTGAGTTTGTCTTTCATAACTTTGGGCAGGTTTTCTTGTGCTGCCTTGTCGCCTTTCACCACCTGGCAATTGTCAGTTTCCGCCTTGAGTTGTTCTCTGCACATGACCTCACGTCTTCGATGGGTGTACCCTGGCTGAGATCAGGCCCCTTCTCTCCCATGGTTTTCGCCATAGAAGCCGCCTCTTCGGAAACATGTTCGATCGGCTTCGCATCCTCTCGCTTCGACCGGTCGGCAGCTGGAGACTTGGTTGTATCCGAGTACAGGCGGGGTTGCAATTGGGCGAGTCGGAACGTAGGTCGGGCATGCCATTGTACTTGTGGTCTAGGTCGGAATGCGACTGTGCGCGTGAGCGCAGTGACATTTAATCGTGGTGGCATTTTGCTGCTTGTGTTGTGAGGATGGTGTTGGGGCCGCAAAGTGACGCTGAATATTCGAGCCGATGTCGCGTTCTGAGGTCCGTGCACTATCATTACATCAGGAACACCAACACCATGGCCAACTTGGACAAGAACACTTCGATGATTGCTGGATATACATATTAATTTAAGAAATGAGGTGATTTTAGGAAGCGTACACTCTTAGTAGTTGAATAATTTCACGGGCTAGTCTGCGCTTAGAGTAAATCGCAACAGTACCTAATTAGCAGCTAGATCTTAATAGCAAAGCACAAAGGGAAGACTTGAAGTATCTCGACAGTTTTGAAAAGAAAAGTTTGTAAAGGTTTAAAAAGGTTCCTTGGATTATAAGGATGCTACATACCTACACATCGCAGAATCAGTCACTCAAGGTAACAGCCATAGGAGGTGCAATAGTAGATGGTATCAGAGATGCATGGCTTATATACTCAAAATTGGGTGTCTAAGACTAGAATGGGCTGTAATTTATCTGAAAATAGTATTGGGATATGAGGAGATGAAGCATATTTCTGGTTGTGGCCGTTTGTACCTTCCTTGAGGTGTCAGGTACCTGCCTACAGTAAGCGATATGTTGCGCCCCCTCACCGCTCACTGCTCAAGTCTTTCGAGGTAGTATAGGTACCAATTATAAGCGATGGTATCATCCATAATTAGCACGGGATCCAGCTTATAACCCCTCATTCTGTCATCCTGTCCTCAACACTGCACCCCTTTGCTCGTTTACCTACCTCCTCAACACTGCACCCCCTTTGCTCGTTTACCTGCATCAGCAATTGCTCATTTACTTGCCTCCTCAACACTGCTCCTCCTTACTCGTTTACCTACTTCCTCGACACTGCACTCCCTTGCTCATTTACCTGCATTGGCCATTGCAGTACACCCACTCTTTATCCACTGGCATTGATACTGCGCATTACAGTCGAGGCACTGCCACTGTCGTCGTGAGTTGCATGGTATATTGATTTCTCAGTCTCGTCCCTCCATCGTCTAGTGGCAGCATATGCCATCCAGAGCTCCTTAGTCTGGCATCGCAAAGGCATATAGAGCCCTGACATGCTCTGGTTGCCACTGTATCACATGCCAGTCTCTAACGAACCTCCATTCTAGATCATACATAGGCTGAAATCGCTAACTTCTTTGGAGATTCACCGATAGTCTGCCCGCTCACCTCGTGGACGATTAATCACAAGACCTGATCTCACCGCACGTCAACATATCGCAATGTCAATGGCAGGCCGCCCCGGTGATGGCCCGGTCGGCAAAGGCCAGCCTGGTAATCCACCTACAGTCGGTGTCTCCGGGTGAGTGTTTTCAACAAGCTAGGCGCACAACGAGAGGCATTATACCAGATGACTAACAGTTCACAGTAGTGGTCGAATTCCCCGCCCTAATCCCGAAGTCACCAGAATCGAGGACGTAATAGTAAAGAATACCCTGTCAACTGCCTTAGCTACCCCCTCTCTCGACCTTGCGCTGCCACGTCGCCCCGCCTATGGCAAAGTTGGAAAGCCGATCATACTGTACGCCAACTACTTCGAGCTGAAGGGTATCAAGCCTGACACACACTTGTACCGGTACTCGATTGACTTTGGAGGAGTCACCATCTCGAGGGAGAAGAAGAAGCAGTTGGTCGAGATCTTACTGCAGACGCCACCTCTTGCGCAACTCAAAGTTGCGACGGACTGGTCGCAAAAGCTCGTATGCGCAGAGCAGATACCTCTAGCTGGGGAGCATGCCGAATACACTCTTGTGTGGAGTCCCAAGGCTGGTTTGCTGTACCCGCAAACAGACGAGTCCCGTCAGAGGAACACATATCATGTTCGAGTAACCAAACTCGGAGAAGTTTCATTAAGTGAGCTCCTGCAAAACCTTTCCCAGCCAGCTCCGACCTATGCACTGAAACTCGACACCATCGACGCCTTGAATACGGTTATAGCATACGGGTCCAGCAGCGAAGCCAATATAACCACAGCAGCAAGGAGCCGATTCTACCCGTTCAATGACCACCCTCAAGTACAAGTGGCAGATCTAGGTCACGCGCTACAAGCCCTTCGTGGATACTTTGCCAGTGTGCGCACGAGTGTCAATCGAGTCATGGTCAACGTGAACGTCGCAGCCGGTGCCTTTCACAAGCCTGAGAATCTGCTCTTGATGATGAAAGAGCTCGTTGGACGTCCTCTCCTAGACGATCGATGGGATGATGAGCGGGAGCACAAGAAACTGAATACGCTCTATTACCATGTGAAGATCGAAACACACTACCTTCGGATGAAGAGCACCGACATCAAGAAGAAGGAAGAGACACGCTGTCAAGTTCACAGCATCGTCAATTTCTCCCCTTCTGGAAAGAACAGTACCAATGTCAGATTCAGGAAGCATGATGCCGAGGGAAAAGTGATTACTCTCACGGTTGAAGAGCATTTCAGGCAAGCGCACAACATCAGGCTCTCTCATCCCCAGGCACCATTGGTCAACTATGGAAAACCCGAAAAACCAATGTGGATGCCGGCCGAGTTGTGTAAGATCTTGCCTGGGCAGTTGGTCAGACAACTTCTTCTTCCTTCTCAGACAAGCGAAATGATCAAATTCGCCTCGCGCAGGCCGGATAAGAACATGAGATCAATCACTAGCGACGGGCTGAAAGTCACGAAGATCGAACCGATTGTCAACGGACAGAACGTCAACTTGGAGGCATTTGGCATCAAAGTTGACCCAGACATGGTCACGGTCCATGGACGCATTCTACCCCCGCCAATCGTACAGTATAGAGCCCAGAGCTGTACACCAAACAACGGTGCTTGGAATCTGGATCCCAAGAAGCTCGGTTCAAGGCCATTTTATATTGCGAAGACTCTCGGTCCTTGGCGCATTCTTGTGATCAACTCTGGAAGCCGGCCCACAATTCCTGGTGGCATTGATGGACTGAAGCACGCCCTGGAGCAGTTTAAGAAGGCACTAATACAGTATGGCATGCAGCCTGGAGAACACAACAGGCCGTGTATGGTCGACATCAAGCCGGAGCAGTTGGCGAAGAAGAATATAGACGAGATTCAAGAGCAGATCAGGTCGTCCCTCGTAAAATCGTTCAAGGAAAAGCCACGATTCCTGTTCGCATTATTGCCCAGCGATAACACGGTGCTGTACGACTCGATCAAGCTACTGTTCGACTGTAAGCTTGGTTTGCCCAGTGTGTGCTGCATTGGCAGCAAGTTTGCAAAGCTAGATCCTCACTACTTTGCCAATGTTGCCATGAAGTTCAACCAGAAGCTGGGCGGTGTCAATCACACAGTACCACTGGCAAAGCTGGCACCGTTGGATGCGCAGACGATCATATTCGGTATAGACGTCACCCATCCTTCGCCGGGAAGCTCGCAAACAGCACCTAGCATTGCTGGTGTTGTTGCGTCTGTTGATGCAAAGTTCTCGCAGTACGCCGCCAGTATGCGCACCCAAGCACGTCGTGTAGAGATGGTGGCGGAGCTCGAGGAGATGATTGTCGAACGACTGGAACTTTGGAAGAAACGAAACCAGAACAGGTTGCCAAACAAAGTCATTGTCTATCGCGACGGCGTTTCTGAGGGCGATTACGGCAACGTGCTCAACAAGGAGTGCGAGTCTTTTGAGGCAGCATTTGACAAGCTCTACGGCAAAGAGAAGCACCCGAAGTTGTCATTCATCATCGTTGGCAAGAGGCACCACACACGTTTCTACCCCACACAGCCTGGCGACGCAGATGTTCGGACTGGCAACCCGAAGGCCGGCACGATTGTGGACCGTGGCGTGACTGGAGAGAAGCTGTTCGACTTCTTCTTGATAGCGCACCAGGGTCTTCAGGGAACGTCGAGACCTGCACACTACGTGGTGCTCAGGGACGAGAACAAGTTTGGGGCGGATCAACTGCAGACGCTGACGCACAATCTCTGCTTCACGTTTGCCCGGGCGACGCGGTCTGTGAGCCTGTGTCCGCCGGCTTACTACGCCGATCTGCTCTGCGAGCGCGGCCGTGCGTATCTCCACAGTGTGCTAAAAGGCGAGGGAGCGGAGGTCGGTGTGGGTTCTTGGCAGAGGGACGTTAATCCGGGGCTAATGGAGACGATGTACTATTTGTGATGGAGGGGCGACATAAGGAGGCCTAGGTGGGATTACTTTCTTTTTTTTCTGGCGTAATGTGCGCTGGCTTCTCATGGCATTGAGAAACTGCGTCGGGAGGTATTTAGGGCGATACGAGCACTGGTAGTGTGTACTTGGGCGACATGTGAATACTCGCACCCTGGTATACCTACAGAAGCGACCACTAGGCCTATTAGGAATGGAATAGCGGGGTTTCCCGGTACCAGTACTGCGACATGCTTTCCCTTGCCGATGGTGACTGACCAATGGGAGAGATGCAGGGCGCGGACGACGTGTCCCGAGTGATGAAGGGATCTTGTCCTGAGTGATGAAGGGATCTTGTCCTGAATGATAAAGGGTAAAGGGAGACTTTCTCTTCTGCTGGTTGATGCAAGGCGGGGGCGTCGACAGCGGCGCTTGGGCAGACGGTGCTGGGTGGACGCACTCGCCCTTCCCCGCAGTAGTGGGCTAGGCAGTCATGCAGGCTGGCCAGACAGGTGACAGCCAACCAGGCTTCACCTCCCAGCCACTTCGTTTCACCCCACTGCAGCCCTGGACGAGACGCTGGCCGTTGACGTGCACGGCGGGCACGGCACGGCATGGGCTAGCTTATCGCAATCAGAAGGGTATCGCGATGCGCCATATCCCTCGCCTGGTCCTAGTAACCGTCGTAGAGCATAAGCTCAAGGCCCGATATCAGCGCGCTTCCTTTGCTACCTGGCTAGAATCACGCGTCACAAGGGTGTCCCCCCACGTGCCTGTGAGCCTTCACCGCATGTACCACTGGCCCTGTAGGTAGTTGAGACGTCGAGAGCCCGCCCGCCCCAACCATCCTTACCACTACACCCCCACCCCCACCACGATACTGCGACTGCGACTGCGACTGCGACTGCGACTGCGACTGCGCAAACGACTGCGCAAACGACATGCTAGACACAATGGATCGCGCAAGCTCCTACGACCACGACATTCCGTCGCTAAGCGCTTCGCTTGAGGCCTTTGACCCCGAGCGCAGTATGCACTCGGCCTACAGCGGCCATTCCACCATGCAATCCTCGCGCTGGAGCGTTCCGCAAGACGATATCGATTCCGAGGCTGAGTCGGACGGTCCCTGGGCCCCGCCTGCCTGGCAGAAGTCTCAATCCAGCAATCACTGGTACCGGAAGTCGCTGCTGGGTGAAAGCGCACTGCGCGCTAGCCGATCGCCCTTTGAGTACCGCACCGATCGCGAAGTCACACCCTCGCGCATACCACTACCAGAGTCGCCCTACAAGATGACGCCGCGCACAAGTCCAGAACCCATACCAGAGGAGGAACAGCGCTACATGGCCGACAGTATCGCTTCCAGGTTACACACGGTACAAAACGCCCACAGCTTGTCCGATGACGAACCGCCAACGAGCGCAAGCACACTTTACGCCCAACAACTCGCGCGCTCGTCCCATGACGAGCCATGTCCAACAGAAGGTTGTGAGTAGAGCCCACCCATTGCGCGCTGTGTGTACTGACAGCCATAGTCATGCGTTTTGCTTACAGAGGAGAAGCCAAGTTCCGCACTGCCCCAATCGAGGACACCATTTCCAGCGTCGCCGGCGGCCTGAACAAGTTCACCGGGTCGCGCGCAAACCTTTTGTTGACCATTGCTACTATTGTCTTCTCGTGGATACTGCTGCAGCCCTGGACAGCCACTCTTATCCCAGATGTCGCCAATGTCGCCAACATGGCCACACAGTTTGAGCCACTGTTGTACGCTTCAGAAAACGTCATACCGCGTTCGCGCGAGCTCGCAGAGGCCAGTATAGCTGTCCAAGACCTAGGAGAGAGCGTTCGCGCCACCAACATGTCGGCCTCCTCGGTCATCATAGATCAACTGGATGATCTAGGCGATCACTTAAAGGTACTGGCAGAGAAGCTTACAAGTTTCTTTACAAATGTAGATGGGGACATGGACTCGTAGGTATAGGCATCTAGAGTCTCACACATCTACTAACAGACCTAGCATTCTCATTACCATGGACTGGGCAAAGCGAGAACTACAAAGTATCCAAGGTCCCAAAATTGGTATGATTGATACCGTCATTGGCAATGTACATGGCGGTCTCAGCAAGGTTGGCCTACTAGAGCGCAATGGCTCGCCCACGGCCGTTGGCCGAGTGGTGAATGACGTCCTCGGTCACACCACACAGCAGCGTTCAAAAGCAACCATGCAACGCACATTTGACTACCTCCTATCTACACTAGAGGAGAACATTGCAAATGAGCTTGCGCGCGCAGATGTCCTCTTCCAACTCTTTGAGAGCGTAGACCGACAATTCCACAATCTACACCGCTCCGTCGCCAAAGAAGAAGACTCTCTTGCAAACAAGAAAGACGAGTTCCTCGCCTCCATGTGGCGCCAAACCATCAACAACAAGATGAGGATTAAGAAATACGAGAAGAACCTCAAGCTCCTCAAGGACGTACGCGCCTCCACGCTCATCAACAAATCTGAGCTCAAAGCCCACATCCAAGTCATCCAATCAGTCAAGGACCAACTAGACAAAGCACGAAAGAACCTCGTCAGCCCGCTCATCCGACGCGCCCAATCAAACTCCTTTGGGCTCGAACAGCAATTGAACGACCTAACAGGCACCTATGGCTTCCTCAAGAACCTTCGAGACGGCCAGAAGAAGAAAGTCTTGCGAGAACTCTGGGGCGAACCCAAACGACGCATCGGCATCACAGCAGGAGGAAGAGAAGAGGAGATTGACGACTCTGAGCAATAACAAGCTTTTTATGTCATCCATCTTCTTTGTTTTTCGCTCCCGTTCCTCCTTGGCATTGCAACAAAAACTTCTTTCCGATCCATTCCCGGCGTTTCTTTGTGCAAAGTCTTTCCACTTTGGTCTTAACTTTGCTGCCTCCCACACTTATCTGAGCGTTCAAAGCATAGCGGCGGCTGGGTTAGACAAAGGACGTGTTTTGGTGTGGTAGTCTCTTCTTGTTGTCACCACAACTTACACATTGATTGGCGCAATTATCTTGCTGGGCTTACTGTGAATGAGGGTGTTTTGGGCGTTTAGGTCGGGCCGCACGTTCGGCTCGACAGGCGCATCGTCGTTGTAGGGATGATGGGACGGGCATTGGCTTACCCATGTGGATATTGGGAATTGGGACTGGAATAGGATTCAGGTTCAAGGGAATGACTGGTATTGTTTTGTAGCGATTAGCAATGTTTTTTTTGGCATAGGTTAGTAACTGAATGAACTCGACTCAAGATTTATAGTCACTTTTCAACTTGCTTCCTGTGTGTGGAGGGTTGTACGTATGTCGTTCAGCTTTGGTAAGGTCACCCCTTGATGCCCTTAGTAATCGGCATATGCATATCATCCGCATGTGCGTGGTAGGGCTGCCGGGTAAGCCGACGGGCTTGATGACTGGATCGGTCTAGTGGCCCCGTTCCAAGGGTTACCCTCTTTTGTCACATGTCCGGATTTCTGGCGGATGACGAGGTGCCAAGATGATCGCAGAGAATCAAGTTGAGTAAGGTGAGTATATGTAAGAGGTTCATTTATATTCGTAAACTTTCGTTGCTTAAGCACACTAGAACTGCACATGTAATCTTCCCATCCGCGTCATCTGAACGAACGACAACGATGATAACAACCAACCTCCTAAACCCATGCAAATTAAACCTCCCATAACACCCGCGAGAAACCTAGAAACCTAACAGTGAATGATTAGATCTTCCAATAGAACCTGCCCTACCACTACCACCACCCACCAACACACACACACACACACACCTAAACCAACCCCGCCCTCAACAGCCTATTCCCAAACTCGCACAGAAAATAATCCGCATAAACCAACCCATGATTCTTATACTTTTTATGCGCATGCCTATTCCAATTCGTCGTGCTATTCCGCAATATACACTCAAACCGCGTCTCCTTGATACCCACCTCTGCACCTACCGTCACTCCATTAACCCCATTTGCATTCCCATTCCCATTCACCGTGCTTTTCTTCGCCAAAGGAGCTTTGAAAGACGCAAAGTCAGCATCATAACTCATCTCAAGCGTCTGTCCCACAGTCCCCACCGCCAACTCCAAGAAATCCGTTCCATCAGAAAGTTCAGCAGCAGTGGCCGAAGGCAGCGCCAGCAACGCTAGATAAATAATAACCAACCCATTCGCCGCAATCACGCCTGCGGAAACATCCCGCAACGGCTCCCGAATATCCTCTTGCTCGGCGTCGAAATCCCACACTGGGACGAGATGATGATGCCACTTTCCCTCTCCCTCTGTTAAACGACGCACAAAGTAGTTTGCGCAGTTAATCGCCGTCGCGAGGAACTTGACATCTTTCGTCCAGGTGTACGTCTGTGCGAAACCGAGGATAGCCCAGGCTTGGCCGCGGGACCAGGTTGAATCGTCGGTCCAGCCTTGGTTTGTCATTTTGGCTTGGGGGAGGCCGGTGGAAGGGGAGAAGTTTACGAGGTGGTAGGAGGAGTAGTCTGGGCGGAGGATCTCGTTGATTATCGAGTTTGCGTGTTGCGTTGCTATGGTTATGAGGGTGGGGTCGTTTTGGGCGTGGCCGATGTAGTAGAGGAGGTCGAGGTCTGTGGAGGGGGTTAGGTTTGAGTGGGATGGGGATGGAGGAGGCTTACTGCACATGCTGTCGATGATGACGAGGAAGTTGGTGGACATGTCTGTTATGGAATAGCGGTCGTTGATGGCTACATCCCAGCTTCTAATCGCCTTGACTTTGTCGTCGTATCGTGAGGCGAGCGCGTATGCAGCATTTACCACGGATTGGTAACTCTCCTTGTTTCCCGTCAACTCCCAGTCTTTTTGTAGGGCCGGCTGTACAATAAATCCCATGTCGTGGGTATCTGTTCGGCTGGACATTTGGATTATAGCCACACTGTAATGCCGACCTAGTTTGAGCAAGTGCTCTTGGATCTGTGGTCGGACGTGGTCGGGGACGTCGATCGCTTGCGGGTATCTCATTGAACGTTCAAGGAGCGTGTATATGCAGCCTGGGAAGAAGCCGCAGGTCCAGAAATCTGCTTCGCGCTCTTCATAGTGGCCTTGTCCCGGGCCGGTCTGAGGTACAGTGTGTGGGTAGGATTGTAAAGGAGCCTGAATGTGTAAGCAAGGTTACTTGGTTAGTCGTTCAATCTGTAGAAGAAGGAGATATACCTTTTGCTTCAGACCTCGTTGTGCTACCTGTATGATTTTGGCAGCTACATTTTCAGAGTAGATTGCGCCGAGGTCTACGCCCTTTACACTATACGTTTTGGTTAGAAAACCACCCAATAGCTGTCGAGATAGATACAAGGTATACTCACATCGCAGCTTTCGGTGCCGGTCTCACGCTTTGTGCCATACTACCCAATAGAGAAACACGTAGTTGCGAGCTTGAGCGATGATTGGAAAATACGTTCAAGTGATGAGCTTCTGTCTATAGCTTTGATCTGCACTTGTACTGCACGACAACTATTCTTCACAAAATCCGTGGAGAAACGTCTCTCGCTACTCTAGTATGTGCAGAAGAAAATATCAGGTCACTTCTTTTTTTTGGCGCGTAAAATCGAGTTTAGTGATACGCAAGCCTCGGCGACGTATCTCTCGGCAAAGGGTCATTTCGCGGCGAGGGCGGGTGGATAGCAGGCTAAAGTTAAGATCCCCTTTGTACCGATGCCCGATGCCCGTTACCCGGCCGCTACCAACTTTAACTCGATAACATCTGCTGCCTAACTCTTGGAAATAGCTCATGTCTGCACTGCTCCTGCTTACCCCGTGGACGGCCTTCCAGAAGAGGAACTTGATCCTGGTCACCTATAGCTCCCGGAAGCTCGACTATGAATGCTAAATTCGAGGTTGACAAGCGGGGTTGGGCAACGATGCAGGGCGATACTAAGTATAACGTACTAGGTTTCGTATGGCCTGTCATGGCAGGACACCAGAGTCTTCACCATTCCTAGCGCCGTTGTATCTGCACAAGCAGTGGTGTGGTGGAGAGAGCATACGTAAATATTCGAAAACCCTACTATGTGCGTATCTCATGATGGATCTGGTGCCTCTGCTTGAATCATCTCTAGACTTTCCCAGCTCTTTGACAGCTATGAGGTCATCGAATCCGTCATCAGGGTGAATTCCAAACTTCGAACCCTAAAGTAGTAGGTAACAAGCCATATGCAGATGGAAGGGTTGGCCCGTTGCCGATCCCCCATGTTTCCTTCCGTGGGGCGTTTCCATTCACAATGGTATTTGCTGGAATCCTTCAATCTCAAAGGAACCTTGGAAGATACTAGGGGCATCCATAATCTAGTAATACTGTGAACTCCCGAGGTCCCCATCGACATTCATAGTCGGGTCTGTTTAGTACTAGAAAGTTTAAGTTCATGTAAGCTGTCAGGCATATGAAATGGCAGGTTCCGTTTTCGCGTTAATGCTTGGGGATGCCCTGGCACGACATACTATTTCCCACCCACACCTCTCTCTCAGCGCACAAGCAAGAAGTGCGACCAGCGCGGTCTGCTCAACCGGATGATCTACTATAACAGTGAATGCATGCGTTAAAACTGAACACAGCTGGAGGTAAACGATGAACCGAATAATTTCGGTCGCTTTTCAAAATGTACGTCTCGGTACACCAAATCAAAAACACATCCCAAACCTCGCTCCTTCGCCCCGCATCTCCTCCATAAGTCTGGGAGTCTTACCGCAGATGGGCAAAGTTCTAGCCCCAGGATATCTAGCTTGAATTTCCCCCGCACTCGGCCATCCCAAAACAGAATCGTCCCGATGTCCGCCCGTGCGCCTGTCCGTCAGCCGTCACATCCCAACCACGCCACAGCTACGCGTCTGGTCGACCGACATTGAGGTTTATAAACCAATGTCGCGTTCCCAGCAAAACGGACCCATATTAGTGTCATCTAGATCGCACCGAGGTCGTACCGACTGGCGAAGAAATTTTACATTGATACATCGACATGCCAAGCATCCAACCTCACGATGAAAGTCCTGGAGTTGTCAATAGAACTGGCGAATTTGACACCAGTGTGATTGCGCCTGCAGAGGCGCCGAAGCGGTCGCCATGGAAGGCGTGGATGTATCTTTGGGAATGGTATCCCAAGCACTATCCTGAGGAGGAGAGAAAGTTGTTGCGGAAGATGGACGCGTGTCTCCTGACTTTTTGCTCTTTCATGTGTGAGTTTCTGGAGTGGTCGGCGTTGCGCCTCGCAGCTAATCATCTCAGTCTTTCTCAAATGGCTCGACTCGTCAAACATAAAAAACGCCTATGTGTCTGGGATGAAAGAGGAACTCAACCTGCGAGGCAACGAGTACTCGCTCTTTGACACCTTTTACAACGTTGGCTATCTCGTGTTCCAAGTACCATCTCTACTGATTCTATCGCGACCAAAACTTGCCAGGTACTACCTACCGACTATGGAGGTACTCTGGTCAATTGTGACCTTTTGCCAAAGCCAGATGCGAAATCAACACGACATCTATGGCACCCGGTTTTTGATGGGCTTGCTCGAGACGCCTGTCGCATCCGGTACGACATTCGTTCTTGGCTCTTGGTACAGGCCCGAGGAAGTCTTCAAGCGTACCGGAGTGTGGTACGTGTCGAACAACATTGCCGTCATGTTTGGTGGTTACCTGCAAGCCGCTGCCTACAACAATCTCAATGGGCAAGTATAGTCGACCCACAGACCATATTTACTTCTAACAACTCATGATAGCGTCCATGGTATGGCTGGATGGCGCTGGCTGTTCATTATTGACGGAGTAATTTCACTCCCTATCGCGCTAGCCGGGTACCTCATCTTCCCTGGCCTGCCCAGTAGTACGAAGCCTTGGTGGCTTACGCCAAAAGAACATGAACTTGCCCGTACGCGTATGGCGAGAGCTGGAGTTGCACCTAGCCAGGATCTGAGCTGGACTGTCGCAAAGCGCACTTTCCTACGCTGGGAGTTTTACATGGGCGTTCTCTGCTATACCTTGTAAGGCAGTTCATCCCAGACATTTTCTGAGTAGATACTAACCCAAACATAGTTTCTTATCCTCCTCGTATCCCCACGGCCAAATGGCAATCTGGCTCAAAGATCTCGCCGCCAAAACCCCTGGCGCCTACACCATTGCCCAGATCAACACGATTCCTACTGGCGCCCAAGGTGTTTCCGTCTTTGCCGCCTTACTCGCCACCTCGCTTTGCATGGTCTACCCACTGTGGACCGTCTTCTCTATCGTGCAAACCATCTACATAGTCGCCAACATATCGCTTTTGATTTGGAACATCCCCAAGGGCTATCACTTTGCCTGCTACTATCTCCTCGGAGTCTCTGCAGCCATAACACCCATTCTCATGCCCTTCATCAACATGGCGCTTCGCGACGATGCTGAAGCGCGTGCTGTCACTGTGGGAGCTATGTTTACAGGTGGCTGGGCAGTATCTTCATTCTACCCCATCACAGTGTTTCCGATTGTCGAGGGCCCCAAGTGGACCAAGGGGTACGCTGTAAACATCTGCTTCATCGTAGGTTGCTGGAGCACATTTCTGGTCATGCAGTACCTGTACAAGAAGAGCGAAAACAAGAAAGCCGCTAGGCAGGTGAGGGAGGTATCAAAGGACTCGGAAGACGCATCAGGTGTGGACGTCAAGACCATGGTGGAAACTGAGCACACCGAAGTCGGGAAATAAAAGGTGATTACGTCATACGTGGCACCCGATTGTTGTTGTTGTACAAGATACATTGAATCCTTGAATGAAAAAAATAATGGAGTATCGTGTTCTGTCTCACTTCAATGTACCATGTCTCACTACAGCCGTGTTTGCACGTACGTAGCATAACCTGCTGCCACCTCTCCCCCATCCCCATATGAATATTGCTTCGACTTGGACAGATTCCCTATGTTACGCAAGGACGAATAAAAGAATTAGCAGCAGCATCCAAAATGTCTCCCGAACCCCGACAGATACCCAGTGTCCGAGTGCAAACCCCAGATTCAGATTCAGCTCTAGACAGTCTTGATCCAGCAAACTACTCACAGCGTACCTTTCATCTCCCCCGGCGCGTTTATACCTCACACCACTCACCCTCCTACACGCGCATCATCCGACTAGAAGGCCAGATACTGAGTCTAATCTCCATCCTCCGGTTTCACCTACGCTATGCAGCTTATCCCGCGGACACGGCGCTATCAGCACTGAGATTAGGTTCTTTGCCCATGTATTTTAACGCTATCGAGGAGCTAGTCGACCACATCGAGCACGGTATGGATTGCAGTCGAGTGTACAATGCAGGCGATCTCGTTCATCTAGCTCAAAAGCGGTATTTTCGCCGTGTGAAGAGGCAGTGTGGAGCGAGGGAAGCGGAAAAAGAGGGACATTGGCCCAAGGTGCTTTGGTTTGCGGAGTTGCAGAGGATCCTTGAAGATGAGGATTTGAGCGTTGGTGAAGCGCTAAGGTGTGGGTGGGAGTGGTTTATGGAACGTGATGGGTTTCCGGCAAAGTACGGCGGCGTGGGGGAGTGGGTTTTGGGGTGGTGGGAATTGGATGGGGAGAAACAGGAGGAGTTTTGTGAGGTGTTCGATATCACTGGAGAAGTTCTGAAGTCTATGGCGCAGAATGTGGAGGGTATGTCGTTGCGGGGTTCCGAGGTTCTGAGCCATGAGAAGGGGGCCTGCGCTCAAGTCTTCGTCTCACAGAAACGGGTCCTGGATGTGTTGATGCCGCTCATGCTCAATCCATCGAAGCAGAATCTGGGAAATTGTCCGCTATGCCATGAGGCGTTGTTGAAGAAAGATGTGGGAACTAGGAACGGGAAACGCCCTGTGGAGATTCTTTGTGGACATGTCTTCCACTTCTCTTGTATCAAACGACATTTCACGGCTCCAGATACTTGGATCTGCCCAGGCTGTAACAGAAACCTTTTAACAACATTACCTCAACCCACAACTCCCTCTGAGGTTCTCGGCAGTTGCGACAAGGTTCTTAGATGGATGGATGCGCCGGCTCAAATCACTCTCCCGACAGAACCGCACTCGTACCTTGCCAAGTTGGCGCTCGTCTTTGAGCCAGCACAGATGATATGCGACAACCTTCACAACTGGTTCAATGTTCCAATGGATTCTTATACAGAGTTGTTGAAATTTTCTGATTTGGCATTGTATCTCGCGCGCGATCGGCTGGAGGCCGCCATCCGAGGCGATGTTGTAATGTTTCGCGATATTGTAGCGAGACAGTTACAAGTGGGGGCGCGAATCGAGTGGTTGGAATTTCTTGAGAGATGTCATCCTAATTCACCATCGGTGTGGTAGGTTGTGCTTGTAGACCATGATATTGCTCTGTCTATAGTAGTGGCTAGCGATCCTATAATTAGCTGAAGTATCGGTATGATTGCAGGATCGTGACAACTGCGTACTTGATCTTTCTTTTACTAGCATTTTCGAAGACCTGGAATGCCTACTGACGCGATCGACGATTCACCAATGTTTAGCGTTGTTTGTAGAGCTTCGTAATCATGAACAGGTCTCGCCATCATGAGTGTAATTCAATTGCCTGTTCGGTTGTTGCCCTTGATTTTTTTTATCTTTCTCTTACTTCTTTTTCCCCTCTATTCAGTGTAGTGAATGGTTCTGACGGGCCACTGTTCGAAGACTCCGAGATAAACGAACCCTGAAGGTATGTAGGCGCGTGGGAAGTCACGGAATTTTGACGTGGGTGCGATCGTATTGTGGAGACCTCATCGTGACCTCGCCACATGACGTTGCTAAAATCGATCATAGAAATTCAAGTTTTGCATGTTGAATAGCGTGCTTAGAAGCAACAATCCGATGTTTTCTCAGTATGATGCATCTCTGTCGTGTTGGCGTTACACTTCGCATCCAATGAGCCATTCGCACCATCAGCCCTGCAGATCCACAGCCCCGCATGTCTCCCGGATCTACAGTGCGGTCCACTCACACGCGCCCCAGCTTACCTTTGCATATGCCAACATCGTGAAGTGTTGTTTACGAGGAGGGGCAACCAACAAAGTGGGCGTATTCTGACTTTCCTTTCCGATCGGCTTCCTATTATAGAAATCCGGTAAGATAGGCCTGATCATCTGCAGCGGCGCACGGTACCTAAGTGTACGTAGATTCCCAACAAATGGCGGGCCGGCTTTGCCGCGGAAGTTACGATGCTTTGTTCTCCAGCCAAGGTGTTGGAATGAGAAGGACGCGTATGAGCTGTGCTTACATCATGCCTATCTTGTGGAACTTGAAATACCCCCAACACCCAGTCTCTTTTTGACTTACAGCAGAAGTTCTTCGTTGTTCTTGTTCTTACACTCTCCATTCCCATTCCTCAGTGAACACCACAAAAATGGCATCTATTTGCACCTCAAGAATGTTGCTACGCCGCTTTGTGCGTCCAGCTCCTCCTGCTTTCCGCTTACGGCCCCTCTCAACCCCACTTCAACGCCGAGCTTTTGCCTCACACCAAGATGCAACCTACCCCAAAGTTCCGTACGAGAAAGCTGAAAATGTTGGAGGGAAGAAGTTCAGCCAATTCAATCTTGCGGGAAAGGTGTTCGTAGTTACAGGTGCAGCATGCCGTCCTCCTCCCATTTATAGATCAAGTACTACTCCTTTGTAACAAATGTTGACACATGAGCAGGTGGAGGTCGTGGCTTGGGATTGTGTATGGCTGAAGGGCTCGCAGAAGCCGGCGGCATAGTCCATTGCCTGGATCGATTGCCGGAGCCTCCCAAAGCTTTCGAAGAAGCTCAGGCGCGACTCAAGAGGAACTACAATTCGAGTCTTGTATACCACAACATGAATGTTACGGATGAGGAGGCTATGCGAAAGTGTATTGCAGATATTGCGGCTGAGAACCAGCGCCTAGATGGACTTATTGCAGGTAAGGGGGTCTCCGATCCAACGGAAGCTACTCACTGACTGCTTTGACGTACAGCTGCCGGGGTTCAGCAAGTGACATCTGCGCTTGACTTTAAGAAAGAGGATATTGCGAAGATGTTGGAAGTCAACTATACCGGCGTATTCCTGGCAGCCCGGGAGTGCGCCCGTCAGATGCTGCAGTACAAGATCCAGGGCTCTATTTGTCTGATAGCATCGATGTCTGGAACCATTGCGAACCGAGGCTTCATCGCTCCTGTTTATAACTCCTCGAAGGCTGCTGTGGTTCAGCTGGCGCGCAACCTAGCCATGGAGTGGGGTAGGAAAAATCCAGACGGCTCCGGCGGCATCCGAGTCAACTCGCTAAGTCCTGGCCATATCGTTACACCCATGGTACAAGCAAACTTCGATGCAGGCGAGGCCAATCGAGAAGAGTGGGAGAATAATAGCATGCTCGGCAGGTTGAGCACGCCGGAGGAGTACAAGGCAGTAGGTCTTTTCATGTTGAGCAAGGCAAGCAGTTACATGACCGGACATGACCTGAAGATCGATGGTGGCACAACTGCATGGTAAAACAGCTGTTGTTGCTCGCTGGTGACAGCTTTTTGCGCGTTCAGAGCGACGAGTCCGGCGTTTATATGAGTACCAGTTGCCGATGAATCATGATATAGTCGGGGGGATGCCTCGAAGAAGTAGCATACCAATACATGCTTTCGATAGAAAAGGTTTTGATGCTTAGAGAGAGTGATGGTTTTATGATGGTTTTGATGGTTGAAGCATTTGAACTGATGAGGGTGCGTTCCTGCCAATCGCTCCACAGGGTCCATACGCACCTTCCCGCATCCGTTCTAGCGTACAATCGGACCATCTGTCCTCCCGCGCGCTCTCCCGACAGCTGTACACTTCGCGAGACTACCAGAGCACGACACATTGAGCTTGCAAGCGCTGCAGCTCTCACGTTTGATACCCACGACTCCAATTCATCATGGAACGGTTAGCGCGAATCCTCAGCGGCGTGCTGCTCTTCATCCTCCCCCTCGCCGCGGCCCTCAAATTCGACCTTCATCCCGTCTCAGCACACGACTCTGCCAAGTACGAACGATGCATTAGGAACTTTGTTGCAAGAGAACAGTTGGTTGTTGTTACGGCAATTCTCGATGGATATAGGGGAGACGGACAGAGAGTGGACATGCATGTACGTTGCAGTTGTGTGGAATTTACATTCACGTTACTTCACACATGAGATCACACGTTTGCACGAAGAGTTGCTGACAACAGTAAATTAGATTCGCGACGCAATGGGCAATGACTACCACCGACCCAAGGACGTAGTTGGCGAGAACCGCTACGCATTTACCTCGCACGAAGACTCGGCCTTTGATGTCTGCTTCGAAAACATCTTCACGACATCATCGTCTTCCAAAGCCATCACCCCACGCCACGTCGAACTTGACATTGACATTGGCGCCGACGCCAAGGACTGGAACACCATCTCCGCCACTGAGAAGCTGAAGCCCGTAGAAGCGGAGCTCAGGAGAATCGAAGAAGTTGTAGGCGAGATTGTGACTGAGATGGACTACCTGAGGAGCCGAGAGCAAAAGCTGAGGGACACCAACGAGAGCACAAACGAAAGAGTCAAGTGGTTTGCGCTGGGCACCATGGGTATGCTTGTGGGACTTGGTGCATGGCAGGTTGTGTACCTCAGGGCATACTTCAGGAGCAAGCATCTTATCTAGATGTAACCCAATGAGAATGAAGGAGTTGGGCTGCCTTGGAAGGCGTTATTTGATTAAAGAGATACTAGGGAAGGCTAAAAGGATGGTTGTGTATGAACAAGAGTATGGAAGCGTTATTGGTTGCATACTCTATACGGCGACTGGAGAGGCGTTGGTGGGGATTTTATATCAACATTTCAAATCATGTGTGCACCAATCTGAGAACCATTACTTTGAAATCTCTTAGCGCTTACAATTTGGTGCTACCCAACTGTACCACTACAGTGCGGAGCCATTCCGTTCGTCTATCAGCAACACGCGGTTATGTTATGTAGCAAAACCTGTTCATCAAAGCTACATTAAAAGCACAAAAACCACTATTTAATTCATGGCTTTATTGAGAACATCCATCATTGCAACCACTAGCCACCCCCAAGTCATACTTTCACTATCTAAACCCACCCAAGAAATGCGCAACCAGATTGAGGCCACACTCCTTCGTGATTGCACCTGTATCGTTTGCATTCATTTGATGATGTTTGATCCGAAAAGAGATCAGTCAACGGCATTGTACCCCAAGAACACAAAAGCACGCGTGGTTGTACCATGGGTAAGAATGAGCAGAGAATGAATGTGTGATATTTCTTGTGATCGTGACCAAATGAGTGTGATGTGCCTCATACACAGCAGTCGAGATAAACTCGACAACAAAGTGTCGCCTAAGCGTAAAGAGTGACATGTTCATGGAAAACAAAAAAGAGTGTATATGTACATGAAAAGCAGAAGAAACGAGTGTGAGGAGGCATCACGCCTGGTATTGGCTGCAAATGTCGTCTTTACCTCCTTACACAGTGACGTACTCGTAGATAACCGAAGTGACGTACGCCGTCTGGGGATCAGCCGGTTTCGTTGGTCTGGGCGACACCTTTGCGAAAGACATTGTCCTGGTGGTAGAAGGCGTGGATTGTGATGTCGGCGATGCTGAAGATACTTCCACAACAGAAGACGCACTGATGACACCAGATGTGGGTACAGATGTGAATGCGCCAGAAGAAGAAGCGGCGCTCAAGTGCTGTGTGACAGTGGACTTGATCAAAGACGTTTCAGTCTTGATATCGAGCACTGGAGCCGCGCCCCCACCAATCGCAGCATTCGTGGCATTCTTCCACTCAAACTCTCCAGTTGCGGGATTGTAAATTCCGCTGCTCTGGCCTGCGGGAAGTGTCGAGTTTGTACCATCTAGGCCAGGTCCATTATACACAGGTGGGTTACCATGTATCTCCTCGTTGTACTCGATTTGCCCGTTCCAAGTAGGCACTTCGGTGTCTGATTTGGGGATGCTGACTGGGACGTTGAACACGGTGACGTTCAGACCGGCAGGCGGGTTGGTACGCGGAATCTCCGTGTAATCGAGGGCTTGGATACGCCAACTGAACTTCTCTTTGAGATAGGCTGCAACTGTTTCCTTGTCCAAGCTCTTCAGCTCACCAGATGCATGCTTTTGCGCAAGCTTCTCTGTCAGCACGATGTTACCCGTGGTGACGACAGAAGAGCTCATGCGAGGAGAAGACATGGAGGCAATCTGACCCACATAGTTGGGGTCTGTAGGCCAGTCAACTGGGTTGGTACTGGGCTCGCCCAAGAAGGCGCGAACAGAGTAGGAGATCTTGATGTCGGTGGGCAAGTTGACTTGGCATAGCCAGTCTGTGGCCTGAGCAGTGGCATTGGTAGAGTTTCCTCCTGGAACAGGATGTGTCGCGTTGATGTTGCTCAGACCCTGAGTCTTGGGTTTGTATAACCGGTTAATAGACGAAGTAAGTGTCGCATTGTCCGGGTTGTTGGCGACTTCAGGGTAGGTGTATCCAAACGAAGTCCAATTACGGGATGTGGTGGAAGTCCACATGTCACCAAGAGCATTCATATGAAATGGAGCTAGTGGCGATGCTGTTCCGAGGACACTGCCTCTGGCCACAGCGAAAGATCCTGTCGCTTGTTTGGCATCTTCAATCCATGTATCAGGGTAGCGAGCTTGGTATATAGCCAAGATTCGATCAATGTTGCAGTGATGAAACCAAAAGACCGCGTCAAATGCCGACACTTCGACAACGCCCATGTGCCCGAGGCCGAAAACGTTATGTAGCCCGTCATGGAGCGTCTCGACGTTACCGATAGTTCCACCGCTAGCCTTGTTACTCACTTGGCTGAAGGGTTGATAGATGGTCAATAGCTTGTAGAGCATGTCGCGGAGACTGGGCTGCTGTTTTCCTACTCGGACGTTCACTTCGACATCACGGCTAGTGGCGTTGACAGCATATGGGTGAAGCGGATAGCGGATAGTGTGACCCCAGTCTTTGAATCGGAATTCGCTCTGATGGCATGTCAGTATGCACACTCCGTAGTAAGATGCCAATCTTTCGGAGAACGTGGGGATTGGAAAGATAAACATACCAAGGGAGCAAAGTCTTCGCTTTTGAGTGGGTGAAAGTCATAGCGGTATAGAGGGTTGCGGATTTCCCCTACAGTTCCGTTCGGAAAAGTGACTGTGACCGTATGACAACGAAGACTTTCTGGCATCACGCCCTCTTGGGGGTTTGGCGGGTCCATTGCCCAGTCCCAGTATGGAAGACGCACTCGAGCCGCGATTGCCAGAGCCCTATTACGGGCCTCGCCAATGGGGTACTCGTGAGCGATTTCCACAGCACGGTCATGGAGGATCTGCTCGAAGAGCGCAAGGTATGGCCGATGCCACGTTCCGAAGATGTTGGATGTATGAGGACAGTAACCCATCATCTCCTGGCCAGGTTGCCCCTTCACCTTGTCCCACTGCCCAAAAGGCGCCCCGTGAATACCTAAAACTTGTTAATGATTATCCTGATATGTTGATCGATATCCATACCGGCTACCTGGTAGTAAGATGTCTTCTCAGATTGGTCCATAGCTTGGAACCGAGAGAACGCTTGCAAGAACATATTCCATAGCTCCCTGTCCTTTTGGAGCTCACGAAGCTCCTGTCTCGGCTGCACCCCGGTTCCTTGCACGCCGACAACACTGAAGTAGCTGTCGTCTGGCTTGGCAACTCCACACGAAGGGCCATTGGTTGAGTTGGAAGCGGCTTGGGCGCTTGCTAGAAGCGAAAGTGAGATGGCAAATACAGTCAAGGAAGAAAAGAATGACTTCATCGTGGCCAGCCGGTAAAGAATGAAATGGATCTTCAAGATCTGAATGAATGTAAGGTGCAACGAGTTGCGGAAAAGAATGGATGTCACTAGGACCGAAAGAAAGACTGAGCAAGCGATGCTGTGAATGGCGTTCGTAGAGCAGCATGGCCGAGTGTATAAGAAGTTCGTAAAATGAACGGCTTCCCAGAAAATTCACTGCCCCGCTCCTTGTGCGTGACGTCTTGAGCCCTGCCGCGGTCATTCATGCAATAGAGCTTTACGGGTGCCCACAGGCATTCGTCACAACGAATATGGTGTTGTTTGCCATACAATCCTAGTAGCGGTGATGTTTGAAACATGTTTATCTTCTTCGCATAAACAAGGCGAGGAGGGGTAGAGCCAAAGGACTTCACGAATCAGAGACGCAAGACAATAGGATACGGTATATGCTCCGAGTTGCCGGTGTCAAACAGGAATCCTGTCCCAGACGTGACGATATCTCTGCTTAATCGGCGCAGCCTCAAATTTACTTCGACACAACCGAAATTGATAGAGTGTTGGAAGTCACGAATTTGTGGTGCGATCATGAGTGACTTTACAAAGATAACCCAAAAAGTGCACATACTAGTCGTCGATGTAGCACTTGGAGAAAAAGGTAGTGTTCAGCGTCCGAGATGGCAGTGCCGCCGCACAGGCCACCTCGCAATGGTGCGACACTCCCGAGGAGCAGATTAACAAGCAGCCGAAATTCAGGCGCACTTCGGACCCAAAGAGAGTCCGATATGGCTGTGTAGGATGACGGACGATACTGGCATTATCAACACGTGCTGATTGGTATCCACTGGGGTTATCGATATACTGCAGGGAACTGGGAAGCCGTGAATCGTCCTGGAGCCTATCGGTACATCTCTATACTCGGACTTCTTTTCAAACTGATCTTATGCCAGACTGAAGGCGCGACTTTTTAAACAGATTCCATCGTGTCTGGCGGCATGGAATCGTCGAGATCATGACCTGATATACGCCGCTTCACAAACGTGTCTTTTTGTGGGATGTCCATCTTCCTCTTTTTTGAGCCGGCAGCATCGGATGCAATATGCATCCTTGCAAATCTCTTGACTCTCATGAACTTCTCAGTTGCAAACGCAGGTAGTCCATCAAGCTGAGCAACCGACGCGCCACTGCTGCGCATCAAGACATCAATGGTTGTTCGAGCGCGTGTAATGTTTTGATGTAAAGATTGTCCAAACACCTCGTTACGGAACGGCCTGAGCGCGACGTTGCGCAGGAGAAGGATGTCACCGACTTTGATACCCCGTAGAGTTTCAAGGAGCGTTTGTTGTGCATGATCTCTCTTATTGTTTAACTCTGAAGGTGGGCGTAGCCAGAAAGTAACTTTGAAGCCTGTATGCGTATCATCCGCGACGACAATTTCCCAGAGGTTCATTTTGTATTCGCCTTTCCTGACGAAGACTTCTCGCTGTTCGGGATTCGCAGTTAAAACGCAGACGAAATTTGGTGTTGGCGTTTGAGGATACATTCCTAATAGACGCGCTGCGCTGGGTAAAGATCCAAGTGATGTTATAGCCATATTAGATGGAACTTGAAGGATCAAGTTGTGCTCATTGACTTTACTAGGGCTACTCAACTCAGATACAGTCGTCCCGAAAGATGTAGTCAAGAACGAAGAAGAACTGACTGTTCTCTCAGGTCCGTCTTCTGCTAGAATCTGAGAAGATAGCAGTGTGTCATGAAACATGAGCGAATGCTCAAGGAAGTCAGTAGTAGCGACTGGCGGGCCGTCGAAGGACATGGTGGTGTCAAGGTTGGTAGTATCTTCCTGGAGGAATGGTGTAAATCGGCGCACGTTGGGGAGTGACACATCTGAAACATCTTGGTCTATGGTACTCCCTGGAAGATGAGGTTGTGACCATCCGGTTCGAAGTCGCGTATTCTTGGTCGACAGGCATCGCCATTTTAAGGATTGTGTAGAATCGGCAGATGCATGAGCCGCCCCTGAAGCATCAAATAAGCAGCATTTCTCTACTGGTAACAATGTACTGTCACTGAAATCCAATTGCTCGCGCAACGGCGCTCCATTGAGCATCCTCAGCCTCATCATGCAAGGCTAGCAGGCTTACGCGTCGTGGGCAGTCGACGTGTTCTCGGGAAACGCGTAAGGCTGTCAGCGGCAAAGGAACCCCGACGGGTTCCGACGGGTTCTTCCAAAAAGCAATGGACTGGATGGCAAACTGGAGTCGGATAATGGCTCGATGCCTCTGGAATGTGGAGCCGAGTAGGAGTTGAGTGAGGGAAGTCGGAGAAAGCAACGAAGTCCGAGCTCTACATTTATCTCCGGGGTAGTCACGCCCCGGACGTATGCATCAACCACAGGCAACAAGCCTGGAAGACGAGTTTAAAGCCCGATGACTGCCGCAATGCCACCTTTCCATTGTGACAGCCTTGTCTTTTCGTATCGGACGTTAAAGACTTACTCCGGGAAATACCCAGAATATTACCCTCAAGCTCCGGCGGTATCGTCATCGCGCGCCCACATCCCGTAGCTTGGCGATCTTATCACAATATCTGATTTAAAGTCCATATGGCCGCTTCCAAGACGCCCCACAGGCCGATTAACGCATACCGAGTGCCAGCCATGTTTCGTAACCTCTCATACAAGCTGACTTCAGCGCTTTCTTCACCCCAGGTGCCCACGCTAAAAAATAACGACGAGTTCACCACAGTCAAAAAAACGGATGAGCTATTTCCGACCACCGACCCTGCGGTAGATGGCGACGATTGCCTGCACGACTGCGCAAGTTGCAGCATCAAGTACCCGCGCAAGTTTGAGATCGACGAAACCGAGGAGTTGTATGGGCATGTGAAAGGATGGAGTACACACATGATTGTCGCGACTGGCAAGACGGATTGGGTGCGCGATGTTGCAGATGAGGAGGGGAGTATAATGGAAGCGGTTGGGAAAGGGGACACAAAACCGAGCAACGGGGTTAGTTTGTCATCTCATATACTCGCATTTCGATAAATTGTGTCGTGCGTCCAAGTGCTAATTATAGGCAGAAATTAATGTTGTCCGCCTCCGACATACCTGTCCCAGACCATTCCGACCACAGCTCAATGGTTCTACTTCTCCCATCATGGCAGTTTATAGAAAATGTCACGCCTGCAAACATACCAGAAGTCATAACCAGCTTCGTCAATCCCGGCCCAACCAACAACACCCCGTTGCGCAAGCAAACAGCGTCGGTGTCACCGCCTGAAATGCCGTCGGATAAGCCTTCTTCCGCCGAGTCGGTGACCGAACCCACCACAACCACGCAATCAATACCCGCGACTCTTCCGCTCAAGGCACGACCATGCCCACACAAATACTTGATCTTGATGTGCAGTCAGAAGACCAGAGATGCACGGTGTGGTCAATCAGCGCCCTTACTCCGGAAAGAGTTCGAGCGCTTACTGAGGCCTATGGGGTTATACCGCGATCTGCACGACGAGCGACCGGGTGGTGTAGGAATATACTTCATAAGCCATGTCGGAGGTCATAAATTCTCGGCAAACGTCATGATCTATCGACACTCGTCGGTCGCCTCTCAGCAGAAGGAGACCAATGGCGTTGCTAACGGACATGTCCATGGAGCACAGAAGCGACTGGGGGACCTCAAGCTCGAAGATGACAACGGCCAAGAGGTCCTATTGGATGCGAACAAAGAGCAGGAGGCAGAGGGCAACGGTGAGGCTGCACAGTGCATATGGCTCGCGCGAGTCAAGCCAGAGGACTGCGAAAACATCATCAAATACACAGTACTACAAGGCAAGGTGGTCAAGCCAGAAAGACAGTTAAGGGGCGGATTCGATCGGTGTAAACAGCTGGCTAGCTGGTAATTCTTGCATATTTGGAGTTCAACATGTGGCCCTTTGATTCAGGGGGCCGGGGCAATTGATGATATAGCCTTTTTAGATTACACGTGATATACCGTACGATAGACGAACTAAACTTGTATCCAAAATCTCTTGCAACGGGGTGTCGTAGTGTAATATACATTACATTGTAGCGTAGTATAACCAAAGTTTACATAGGTATTATTAGAAAGGTCAAGTCCAAGCTAGTGTAATCCTTTATTAATGTCGAGTGGGACTCCTCGATAGTACAATATGCATGCTTGGTGGTACAACACACGTTTGTAACACAAGGACATCTTACACCCTTGCTTTCTTCACCGGAGGCTTGGCCGATGGAGGGTATTTATGCGAAGTTTTGTCGCTGTCACAAACATCTTTACTGAGACGCTCCTCCATCATTTCAGTCGCCCATCGCTACCTAAACACATGTTGGTTTAGGAACCAGAACCAAGCATGACGAAAAACCTGCCTAATCAGACTGCTCCATGGAACCCACCAAAAACGAGCAACTCGGACGAGATACCCAGCACTAGCCATGGGAAAACTACAAACTCAATTCATACCACCGCACTAGAGGCCCACCACCTCAGGCGTCATAAGCCTAGATCCTACGTCGCGTCCTCCACTCTACCTCCACCAGTGCTTTCCCCGGCTTCAGAGTCCCCTCGCAACAGTCAAGCTCCTTACACCCTCCCTTTACTAGTATTCATAATTATGGTGCTAAGTTCCCTCGCCTACGATATCATCAAAGGCTTCTGCAACACACCGGTCTTGGACGCAACACCTCTGGCTACTTATACAGTCATTGTTACCATACACTCGACGATTATCAGACACTCTACCATTGAAATCCTAGAACCTGTGACTTTAACGGAAACAACAACAAGAATTGAGAGAAAATAATCAGGAACCAAGCATTATTCCACTGACACCGACGACCTCATCACGCACCCCAGTAGCTACTGAAACTAGTCACGAGGGGAACTTCCGCGAAGACTTCCATGCTAGGATGAGCACTGATGCATGCGGAAACATCTACGACCCCTCGTATCAAGGTGCAGAAGAATCTACCGGCGGAGAGTCTGCTGTCAGGGCTAGATCTGATCAAAGACGCTTGAAGGAAATGGGTAGTTCTGTTTCTAGAGAAAATAGGAGGGCAGGTGTGGTCATAATCGCAGACTTTCTGAACAAACTGTTCCAGAGGGATGACGATGACGAATCGGGAGAAAAGATCGAGCGTAGGAATAATAGACCCTAAGGCTGGAGATTCTCAAAGATTAGGGAACATATTTACTAGTGGAAATTGCGAGCATTAGATGTGGGTTGGTTTGATGGTCCAATGGATGTGTGTACTATGTTGTGTTTACCAAGATCTGCAGGTCAGCTTGACTGAACCGATAATCAAGCTTTACCTCAGGTGATGAGATGCAGTATTAGTGATCTTGAAACGTTTGTTTCGATATTTTGGTGACGTCAATCGCGGAATCGGCGTGTATTTGAAAAGCGTACAGCAGCTGCAAGGCCGGAGCAGCACTGCATCAGGTACCTAGGGAGTAGCCTGCTCCGAGACTGTGGAAAACAGTGCGTAACGATTTACCCTATAACAAGCGATCGATGAAGCGAGCTGTGCGCCACCCCCGGAAGTGTGTAACGCTGCTGTCCAATACGCGTCCTCGGCCCCCCATACGGCCAACCACTTTATCAAACACCACCATTCATCGGTGATGCGACGGATATAGTATTATTAGAAGGTGAGATGTTCAGCCTTATCAGTTATCCGAACGTACTCAAACTACGTCTGAAAGCATCACATCCAACGCCGTGACAATCTAAACATGTCGACAGAACGACCCGACCCTATATTCTGCACCAAGATTGGAGATACCAACCCAAACACCCCAAACGAATTACAATGTTGCTCCCCAAACACGCAAAATAGCACACTATGTCGTTCAATCTTCAGTAACCCCCTAAACAGCGACATCTTTACTGGAACATGTTTCGCTCCCGGCCACGACTGCCTAGCCGACTGCCAACATCCCCGCCTCATCTACTCGTCCAAAGTCCAAGATGATTCGAAGACGGAAATGCA